CTCGATAACTCGCTATCCAGTTCCTTGGAAGTTCAGCCTGCATTACTGACGAGCAAGATCCCTGAGGATTAAAAAAAAAGTCCTAGACGCAAGGGCAAACCTTTTAAATTCGAAGGACACGCAGAGGCAAATCTTTTCTGTTAAGCCTTGTACGATGTACCTATTATGCTTCCTTGGTCCTGATCTCGAAGGGTGGCTGCGATCTGGAATAGAGAAACGAAAAGAAAGGAGCCTGAGAGCTTGGGGGCATTTCGGCTCCGCTCGTCTCTGCATTTGTATATATCTATATATTTACGTAATGACGGATGGCTCCGAATCGAGTTTGAGGTTAGGTTTTACGCAAGCATATGTCAATGTTTGCTTCCCGGGGCACACGCTTTACGCTCTCTTGCTTCGTTCAATCCCTGGCCCGCTGGACCCTTCCTCTCTGTTCCTGACCGGTCGCTGGACTGTGGAGTCCAGTCATCATCAGGGTATCATCAAAATCATCCCTCGAATATCCAGCAGGCATCCCTCCGGCTCATTTACTTCGATAGCAGGAGCAACGAAGGTTGAGAATTGAACGATTAACGTACTGCTAGTTACGTAACCTAAAATGAATATTACTTAAGATAACTTAAGATTTCTCTAGGTGCTGTAATTTAAAAAATTCTTGATTTCACTACAATGTGGAATATGTGATATAGAAATAATATCTACCTGGCTAAGGGTAGCTGCCAGCATATACAAATACCGAACCAGAGGGTCGGTGTCTTGTATCGCGCGTAGCTTCTACCCCTCAGTAGATTTTGGTGAAGCAAGGTGTGAATAGAGCGCTCTCCGTAATGAGGAACCTAGTGGCCAAGCAGCCAACCATCTATCTAACCAACCCCGCCAACTCCCTTTGCCAACCCTCATTCATCCCCTATCCATTCGCCATCCATTTCCAGAGTGGAGCCACCGCCTCCTCGGCCCAGGCATCAGCCGACGCTACCGACGCCACCTTTATACAGTCCCAGCCATCTAACGGCTCCTTCTCACCGCAGACTCCATTTTAACCTCTGGTGATGCTCGTTGAGGAAAGTCAAGACCAGGGGACGACGTCGTAGTTCTTTGCACTCTGCCTCCTTCCATCTCGCAGAACTTTCCAAACCCCGTCATTTCATTCTATTTCCTTTTAGCTCCATGCTGAAATTTCGCCGACTAGCACAACTTTCCTGAAAGCAGACAGACAGGATCACTGAGACAGAGAGAACGGTCTTGATCCTAGGTACGTATTGGAATGAGTTATTACCATCCTGAGCATCGTCACCGTCGGCTCCAAACAAATCCCTCTCTGGACTGTGTACTACAAATAAAAGTCTTAGCTCTGCAGAAACGCTGAATGGATTTCGTGGATTACGTAAGAATGCGATAACGAGCTTCTCTTCCATTCGAAAAGCTGTGACTAATCGGATAGGGGTGGCCTGATCCAATGATTGGCTCGTTACTCTCGCAGCTTCCGATCTGTTTGCTGTTTCGTCATTGAATCAATCCCATCTCTTTCAGTGATACCACCTACGCAGCACTAATAATTAACACCATCTACGACGCTGTGACACTCACCAGTGTATTCCGCACGTACAGAGTCCAATACGTTATTGTCTTAATGGCTAATCATAGGAGGGTGGCTGAGGTCCTAGTCAGGGACACGAATCGATACTAATCATAAGGGGTGAGTTTGTCAAGGATGTCTTGGAGGTTATGTGTCTCTCCCTTACTTGTTGTGTTCTTTGGAGGAATGAAGAAAATCTCTTTGGGACTGTGGGGAAAGGGAAAAGACTGAGGCGAACCTCGGAGAAGACGTGGATGGTTAAGGGTTGGGGGGGGGGGCGGCGAAGATCGTTATGTACCTAAACAAATCTGGATTGTTTGCAGTGGCATCGTTTCACGCATGAGGCCGCGGGTTCTTTATTCCTTTTCCGATTCAAGTTGATGCCACTTGAGCGAGCTGGAGTGTAAGCGAATGCGAGGGCGCCGAGGACGACGAGGGTGGTGAGGGCGCGGCAAGGGTGAATCTGGACGGCCGACGCTCTGCACTCTACAGTCGTCAGTAGTCAGTAGTCAGTCGTCGGTCACCCCCAGGGAGCTTTGATCTACGCCGCACTCCGGAACTACCACCAGCTACCCTACTGGAGTCTCCACTTCAAGGTCTACTCGGCCACTCGTCCACGAAAAGAATGACGTTCGTCACGCGGTTTTAATTCCGCACACGGTTTTATGAGTGACGAGAGATCACGTAGTTCCAGGACGTAACCTAACCTGGACTGTCCAAGTTTTTAAGCTACAGCAGCTGTCCCTTGACGTCTTCATGGCTTGTTCTAGGTTAGGAATCTTTTACATAGGTAGACGAATACCTGACTGCGGATACTTGTTTCGCTTTTCGCCTTTCGCTTCCCACTTTGCAGGCTAAAAGACGACAATTAGATGTCGCTGGCTCCGGCTCCTGCATATTCATGGAAGATCAGCGCGCGTTTAATTTCGAGGGATGACGGTGAGTTGATCAAAGGCGCGCTTGCTGGGATCTCGAGGTCCTCTCACAGCCCCACCCAATATATACTGTCCTCATCCGGCCCTCGTTCTGGCTTTTACTACGAGCAAAGACCACAGCCCGAACTCAACTGTACTTTTCAAATAATGACCCTGTCGTATTGTATACCTTTGCATTTTTTGCATTAACGACAATGCCGCTTTCTTTTAATGTTTCGAGAGAGCAGTGAGCTCTTCGAGGACTAGGCAGTCGTGGAAGAGAAAGAGAAGTTGGAAGAGACTGGGGAGATGCTTGGTATCACTGTTTCCTGAGGTGATACGTCGAAGGTTAAGCCGAGGAAATTCTTGACAAAATAACTGCAGGTACTGCAAAATGGCTGCATCGGACAAATCTGGAAAATTTTTATTAATGTTAATATTTGCTCCTATAAATGTCTATATACGTTGATGTTTTATTATATATATATATAATAATAATAATAATAAAACATGTACATACACACATATATATATATATACTCACTTTATATACCTTTTTGCTTTTCTCAAATGCAAACGCAGACATTAAAGAATTTAAGTTGGCAATTCTATCCCGCCATTTGCGTGGCTGCTTCCGCTTCCTGTCTTCTTTTATGGTCTTCTGGCCTTCTTGCTGGTTCACTAGCTAGTTGGTTCGCTGGCTGTGATATAATTTACTCTTCTCTTGAGATGTCAAGAGATTACCGTTAGCCAGGAATGCCACCACGACCATCAGGCAGATTGAAACAACCCCTACTACCCTGCTGAACTGAACAGGCCTTTAGTAAAAAGCTCCCGCCCCCCCCTCCTCGTCCACCCTCTGCAAACTCACCATGATCCAACGAAGCAACAACCCCAACCCATTTATATATCTACCGGCAAATTTTGTTTGTTAGTTATTTTTTTAAAAGTTTGTCGTCGTGTCGACGCTTTCATTTCTGTAAGTGAAAATTTCAAAAAGATTCAGAAAACATACGGACTCACGTTATTCCATCTCGACCTGATCTGTATGACGGTATGTTTGCACGAAGAAGAATCCGGGCTTCACCGATATAAAACCGCAATTTAGAAAACGAGATCTCAAGGAATTCCTAGTGTTTACAGAGAACAGTGTTTACTCTGTGAACGATGGGGCTGAAGAAGCCATGCTGAATTTAGGGGTAGCCGTATACTTCCTTTGGCTTTTCTTATATCCTCTCTTTCATTTTTATGTATTGCCAAAGAAATATACAAGAGTTATCCCATTCGTATAACCTTTAAACATTCTACACTTACGTTCGCGGCCACGGAATTAATTTTATATGATAATAAATGTGTCTGTACGAGTATTTTAAATCGGATTGTCGTTTATGACGCATGAATAAGCACGAAGACGGAATTACGTCACTATTACTTTATTATGAAATTTTTAAACGTCACGTGGTAGTGGGTTCGAGAGTACACACTACGCATAGAACATAATAAGCCGGCTCACAAAGCTCAGCAAAGGCGAGAGGCATCGAGAAGGGAGAAGGCAGAAACCCAAGCAATTCAATAAGAATTATGATTTTGGTATACTTGAAGTGGAAGATATTCGACGTTTGCTAGGAAGCAGCCTATTTCGAGTAGAGAACCTTGTATTAAGGGATTATCATTACCCATGGCGGATATCCATTATGGGTTCCTGTATAGGTCACGTTTATGCCGTCACTATAGATTCATGGACTATTGGGTAAGACGATTACGTTTTCAAACTACCTGTAGTAACCGGCGTTTCTCATTGTTAGAAATCTTCGCGGACCCACGGGAAATCCTTCTAGTCTACTTTTTCTTCTCTCTTTCGCGCAAACGTTGATCTCAATGATTTACCTATATTGACGATTTTATGTTTTTATTATGGAAGAGAGTATACTTACATGAGTCACCATTTTTCTCATATATCTTATTCACTGTCATCTTAATTTATTTCACGAAAATCATATGACGCTTATGTACTTCACTGAAACCTGTTATTGTCTTTCAATTTCTTTTTCTGTTTTCACTGGAACTTCTTTTTGGATACCTACAATTCTTTCAGCTGCTGTCAACGGTAGTGTCGCCATCCTTATACTCGGGGACATACTCCTGGCTTGTATGGTGTTAAAATAACCATCGTAGTCGATAAATCTGTTTACAGACGATGAAGAAGTGCCACGTTTTACTGATGAGGTAACTGGACTGGGCATTTTACAGTTGACAACTTACCGTTAGCTTAGCAACGACTGTAGTGCGCAGATTATCAAGGTTGATGAAGTACTAGCTGCTTCAATTCACAGATGGCAGCACTCTCGGTGACGCTTCTATAGGCCAAACTTGCGCGGCAACCAAATACATGGGTATACCTGGTGTACTTATCTTCAGTCAATGGTAAGAGATAAATTGAACAGATAACTAATTGAGTTAAAAACTAGGAGTTTCTACGTGAATCATGTATAAAGTCGGAGACAATGTTTAGAAAGTGTGCATCAATTTATTATATTTACAAATTATTATATTACAGGATGCGTCATATATGAATGGGATAATTATTAGAATTCAGTTAACAAGAAAATTGTACAGGCGTTCACATACTTCCTGCAGATATACCTACTCATCGGCTTGATGAATTTTTCAGGTGTTGAAAATATAAATATTCCTGAAAAAGATGTAAAAGCCATTTAGAGATGACGGAATTAATTTCTATCTGAGCAATCATAAAATTGTTGGCATACCATGAGAAACGTTGCGCCTAGTAGAAGAGCCTTAACTTTCACCTTCATATTCGCAGGAACAGTTAAAAGTAGAGTATAATCAAGAGCAAAATGATCCCAATGATGCATCACTGATGCAATTTGATGAGTACTGTCTGCGGATATTATTTGAAACTGTGCATCTTTATACATGCAACAAGAGAAAACATTTGGACCGTATATATAGCAGACGATCTTTCTCGATTCGTCATAGACAGTGAAGCTGGATGAAATGAATGTGCAATTTTGTTCAATGCTTCCAATTGTGTCATTGCACACAACAGTCATTTTCTGAAAATATATAAGAGGCCAAGTAAGTTCTTGCATAATTTTGTCTTATCCTTAATGTGTTACTAACGTGCAGAGCGCAAGGAAGGCATCCCCAGCTGACATTCTTCTTAAACGTGAAAGCCAACTCGCCTGTGGGGTCAAGAAGATTTAAGGTGAAGCCTCGTGAAGATCCCAGGATGTCACGTTGCCATTCTCCAGAGACCTCACTGGCAAGGAATATCGTTTCAGCCCTTGGAACTCTTACCCTGTATTGGTTACCGGGATTTGATTTGCTCAGGACTAAAAGTAGATCTTTTCATAATTTTATACCTTGATGAAAACTCTATGAAATTAGATTTTATACGTACGTGTGCTTAGTTGTACGATCTCCTGTATCTCCAGCTGCTCGACGCTACCCAGGAAGTCTGTTCCTCGAAGAGCACTTAGCTGGGACCTGGGTGTGGAGACCCATCCTGATGTGTTTACAGGAATCGGTCTTCTTCTGGAGGCTTCATTAAGCTCTATGATATGAGGTTAATTTTATAACAATAATTGAAAGAATGTTTTAAAAAATGTTTTTACCTTGTGGCTGAGGTTGAGATATAATAATAGTGTTGGTAGTAAATATTGGTGGGTCAACAGAGTCATCTTCTTGACGTTCATTCTTTGGACCGGGTGCCTCGTTGTCTTTTCGCAAGAAAAAAGAAATGAATTATTAATATATATTAGAAAAATAATTAGAAAATATATGCTGAATAATGAAAAATTATTTACCAGCACGGGGCGACGCAGTTGGGGTAAATTCTTGAGCTTGACCAGTTGCGTTCACTGTGCGCTCCGACATTTTCTACGGTTGTCGTTTCACTATTGCTCCTCATTATCTCCAACTGATTACCTGGCCGTGTTATCATTTGCCATTCGATAAACGATATCTTCTACCTAACTGAGCACGACCGACTATCTAGTCTGCAAGATAATTTCTGCAATCACAAAGCATTGTTAACTTTATTAACAGTTAAAAAATAACAATCTTATTGCTTTACTTCCATCTTCTTAAAACCGTCCCAAGAAATTGTTCAATACACCCTTGCTTAACGTTGCCAGGAACATGGCAGTATTTTTAAATTCACCGATTCTTAATTGATCAATCAATATCAATTGATCCGACAGAAAAGCCAAAAATATCATATTCCAGTTAGTAATCCATTCGAATTTTTTTATAATGCATAAAAAACTCCTGTCACCCCAAACAACAAATTTTGATCTTGTTATCACAGCTTATAAAAAAAAACCAAACTCTTAATTGTTCAAAAACTGTCAGTAGACCTCTGACTTCCTGCGTCATGCTTCCTCAAAAAGATAACCCTGAACAGAATTATGAAGTCGAAATACGCAATGTCCTTGGAAGCTCGTCGGAATTCGTAAACGTCCGCAGCATCGCCATTCGTATACCAGCATCTCTTATTTACAGGGGTAAATATTCGTCCATAGCATCATTTCCCGAGCTCAGACTGAAACACCCTGTAATACTGTCTGAATGAACGAACTTAACAATACCAGAGTGTATAAATAGTTATCGAACGATCTCTCTATTGCTTGAGCTGTGAATTTCTTGGATATTGCTTCATGTTTTTTGTTCAGGCACACCCCATGTCTTACTTGTTGCTGCGTCGGGAAGTCGGCATGCGCGACGTTATCGATCGACGCCACTTGTATAAAAGGTACGACGTCCCTGGTGGTGGTAGACAGTAGCCAGTAGCAGAACAGATTGTAATATACAACGAAAATATTAACGAAATTATTGAAAGATTAATTCGGTGTTCAGATAAGGCTCAGACGACAGAAAAATATATACGGAGAACATTGTGAGTCATAAGGATTCGCCCGAATGAGGATTTAAAAACACGTAAGTCGTTTGGACGTCATGCATTTTTATGTTTCTGTCGTACCTTCGTAAGCGTGGCTTTGGCAAACTAGAACGATCCAGTGCATTTTATGGTATAACCTATAAGTATTAACGATGATTTGCAGAGAGCTACTGTCAAGGGTAGGGATTCATTAGTGTTTTAACATTTGCTGGACGCTGCCGGCGACGCCGGGCGTCGATCGAAGCGAGGAGGGTGGAGTTATGACGGGCTCGCGTACCTACGCCTTGTTCAGACTCTCGTGCCTTGTCATACCCAATCGATCTTACAGCCATCTTATTCTTGTTACGTCATATATATTTAATAGTCTTGGATCCGTTGATTAAGAAGTCTTATGGAGATCATAAGAAATTTGAATGGAGATCATTTTGGTAAAATCTTATTCCAGTGAACATGTCGCCGTTATCAGGTTGGATGCTTTTGTCAGGGCTTGCTATGGTGGCAGCCCTAGCTCCTCTGACTCCATTATCTCACAGAACGAGCGAAGGTTCTCTCAGAAGTGCCCTGGATGCTGTCACCAGGAAGCAAAGATCTCTGGACCTCAATACTCAGGACTACTACAATGATCTGAGGACATTCAAATATCGTGGAATGGCTAATAACGCTGCCGAGGCTGAACGGAAGCTGGAAGAACGTCAACGTAAAAGAGAACGTGAAATTCTCGACGAAGATGATGCTGATGATCTCGAGTTTCTTCCTCTGGGTATTAAATTGTTATTGATGGTTTCGATACCGGAATCGAGACGATGATCACTAGTCATTTGCTTATAACTGATTTTCTAGAAAATGGTCAACTGGAAACTGTAGGCCAGGGTTTTCAGAAAAATCAACCGAACGGCTACTGGCTCGATTTGAAAGTTCCTGAGCGTTCTTTGAACGGAAAGGCTCTTGAGCAAGCACTCAGAGACTACCTGGAGGTTGCACCAGGTCAGGCAGAGGCAGCACCGTCGCCATTCCGTGAACGAGAGCGTGGTGGAAGTCATAGGAATGGAATAGGGGATGAGAGGAGGGGACCAAGTGACAAACAATTGGCAAAGATCTTTCTCCAGGAGTTGCAGGATGGGTCTTCCTCCTACTCTCAAGGGAAGCTAGAGGATGAGGATTATTTGGATACTTTGTTATCAATCTATGACAGATACAGGGCAGATCAGGAGGGCAAAACTCGCGGGTTAGTCTTTAGGATCCTCAGCTGACACTAAAAACAGAAGAGATCAGTAAAAATAAAATTTGGTTCACAGAAGCGACATGGGTAACGCCCCTGCAACGTGGGGAGAAGTCTTTGGCAGACATGAAACATTAGGTAGGAATCATCTTGCAGAAGGTGACCGCGAAGAGTTACCTAATAGACAGAGAGATCTTCACCGAGAACAAAACCAAGATCTCCTTTATCCAATAGTAGTAGAGCACAGAAATGTCAATGCCAGGTATCCCTTAGGACGGGACTACAACAAGTACCGTGATTTGCGAAAGCGCTACCCTGTAGCTAAGAGAAGTCCTAAACCTATGCAAACTAAGCGGCAAGTTACAGATCCTAAGGTGATTAATTACCTGAACTCTTGAATCTCGAGGCGAATTATATTGTCTACTTGGCACAGTCTAATTGTCATCTGGTCTCTATTCTATATTATGTTCTGTAGGTGGCTCAGGATTTAGGAGTTTTGTTTGGAACACAATCAACTGAAGACGCTCTTCACAATCATACTCATGAAAGTCATAATGATGATCACGATCACGATCATGATCATGATCAGAACAAGCATCATGACCACGAGCATAAGCATGAGCACGATCATGATCATGGGCATGACCATGATCACGGCCACGTGCATGCGCAAGAGCACGGCCATGAACACAGCCAGGAACATACTTCAGAAGCGTCTAACGCCACTGCGCAGCCTAAGGGTCAGAAGGAGAATGCAACGAGGGATAATAAATCTAAGGAGCGTTCTATTGAAGTTAAGAAGAAGAGCGTCGATTGGTCGCAATATTTTGGGATTGATCGGAGGAAGAAGAAGTCTTCGCTATTAGCTCGACCAGGAACACAGAATCTCGATGAAGAATGGCTGCTTCAGAAATACTATAAGGTCTTTTTAAATCTACTACTACCTCGACAAGATTGACAATTCGTATTAACGTTATTGATTAATATTTCTTAAAGACCATGGCTGAGAATCTAAAACCTATGGATCGCGAAGCAGAAGAAGAAGCTGGTGAAGATGACAGGGGTAATAAGATGAGAAAGATCTCACCTAGATTGAAGAGCATCAAAGAACTCATCATTGAAGAGCTCCTTAGGTACATGGGATGGCTGGATAGCTCTGATCTGGAGGAACTCGCCGTGCAGAACAATTTGACTGCAGACTATTCAGGCAGAAAGAACGAGGATAACCTGGATGAAGATGATGGTATGAATAACGAATATATAAAATATCCTAAGTAGGAACCTTGAACTTTATTGAATCTAATAAAAAGGTGGCGCCAATGAAGATGAGCAGAGTTGTCCGGAACTCGAGGCTATTGAGAGACACTGCAGAGCTGTTGGTAAGCTGGCCGGAGACAAGGCTCAGGTTCTTTATGCACCCTGCGTCTTGCACCAGATCTGTAGAGCCTGCGTGAGTATTCTGGCAAAGGAGAAAGAAATATTAACTCTCTAAAATTACAAACCAGAACTCTTTAAATTCATGTCGTAGCTGCAGGAGGAGGATCACGGTCAGGACCATGAAGATACTGCAGCTGCAGAAGAAGAGTGCAACGGTAGCTTTGCCATAGAGGCAGCCAGGGCATGCGCAGGACACGACGGGGGTACTCAGGACAGTCAGGAAGCTCGAGAAAAGTGTGCAAGGATTGCCCTGGTCCTGTCGCAGCTGCAGCGACCACCAGCTAGTGCGACTCTCTGTCGCTCTTCAACTTCTGACTCAGACGTAGCTGACTCCTGTCTTCGACGTTATCGCTTCCATAATTCTCATCGCTTTCGTTACAATCCTTACGCCGGTTCATCTCATCGGCGCAATGGCGCTACTGTCGTCAATGGCGCCCAGCTCGAGCGATAAGCTATCGAAGACCATGAAGGATTCTCGGCGACGCGTCATGTCGGAAACTTCTCCTTTGCGTGCTGGCGTGCGGAGCGTCGACGTCGCTGGCATCTTCTGGAAGCATTTCAGGTCTATTTGCGAGATCATTTTAAGCTCACGCGACTGCTCTTCCTTCCGGCCATATTACACGAGGACACCCGGAACGCATTTGAACGAGAAAGACAATAACTAGATGGTTAGAGCTTATATCTTGGATCAACGAGAAACCAGAGAAGGTTATGTCATTCTAAAAAATTGATTAACTGTTTCGGTCAAGAGGTCCGAGAGTAGCGCGTGAACCTAGAGACAAAAAAGCTTCTTCCGGTCAGCCGAGTCATTATCGCGAATAGACTATACCTCACGAGAGTAGATTCTCTCTGCATCCAAATGATGCATTCACATGAAATACTATTCGATACGATATATCCATTCAATGTTGTTAAGAACTATACTTAAAGTTAATTATATCCTATATATTTGTGAGTACTACGAAAGTCACTAGTATCCCGATCTTGACGCAATAGCCGCATACAAGCTGACGAAAAGTTACCAAAAAATGGGGACGCAAACAACGGCGGCGAGGAGGAGACGAATTAAGAAAATGAGAAGCGATCGTACAGTGACTGTTACTCGACGTTACTCAATGTTCGAAGACGACCGTTTAAATAAATGTCAGAAAATTTATCGATATCTTTCAGGGGATATAAATGAGGATTGTGCACAAGATTCTACAGTACATCCATTACGAAGATAATATATTATATTTATGTCGAAGACAAGAATGCGTACTATGTATCGGCCCTATGTGGACGTAATAAATATATTTAAACATACTGAAGAGTAATCATCGACCTAACTTAGTGAAGATCACATTGGGATGAGATTAATATTCTGGATATCTTCTCATTAATTCTCCGTATCTTCAGCCACTGCAAGATCTTCACCATCTTGTATCTCTTCAAGAAGTTCTAACGCCTTCATACAGAACGGTCGGTAGAGTGCCATCAGCTTTAATTGTAACGTAGCACAGTCGACTGAGAGAGCATTGCATCATCTTTCTCTAGAAAATTTAACAACTCACCTCTCATTGTCATCAAGTTCTCCATGAGCATCTTCAACTCTACCATCATCTTATCAAATTTCTCCATGTCAAAGTTAGCAGCCATTTCTCTATCTGCTATTCACAGTACGTTTCGTCAGATTTGAATTTTATAAACTGTTGGTCGTAAAATGCTGAAGTATCAGCCGATAGATGGCGCTAGTGTCACAATCCCGTTTACCAGTTGCGGATGACAGTACTTTTCGGCGTTAACTGAAGAGGTAAATAGGCTGAACATCTTATGGTGTGAGATAGCCGATAGCATGGTGCTAGATAAGCCCTTCGCCCTTCTTTATCGTCTCATGCATCGTCACGTAAGTTGACCTCATTTTTCCATCTGGATGTGGTTAGAGTTACTTGCATAAATCGATTAAACAATAGTCAAAGTACCATGGTAACTGTAGCTAAAGAGAAGTTAAGCTCGTGAGGTCTTGATTATTTCACTAGTAGAGATTAAAAAGATGTCTGACAACAATAGAAACGAATTACCAACATGTAGTCAAAGTTCTGAACTGACAGGTATTTTAGAAGAATAAAATAAAATATTAAATTCGTTGCTCGTGTTAGATTTAATGGCACACATTTAATAAATCTGAACCGCGATGAACTGCATGCGTGCATACATTATGTATATTACGAAATTCATACACGTGCAATATATAATTTATTTATTAAATAATTTTAAGAACTATTAAGACGTCTTGAGATTTCACCGCTTTTACTTAACGACGAGGACGCGCCGACCACAAACAGAAGATCGTCTAGTGACTCGTCTATTGTGACAACGGATATCCGGAAAGCTGACGAACTTGATGGTTATCCAGAAATAAGTTCATCCAGCGACGTACTCGATCGAGAAGTCACTTTAAAGCAGTTAGTTGTTGTAAGGGAAGATGGCAAAATGATCAAATGGGAAAACGAACTCTTTCACGAACATCTTATTGAACACTTCAAACGAAAACAGGTACAGGAATTAAGTAAAATTTAAATAATAACTTGTTAATCATAAAGGCACATTGTGGTATTTATTATGTGAAGGGAAAGTACCTTTAAAGGAAGTGCTCGATGATTTTTAGATGACTCATGTATACAATGACGAACCTGATAATTTTGCACTGATAAAAAAGTATTCACGGAAACTGGCGGAGCTGGAGAGACTCAGAGAAGAAATTCAGGCTTCGCAGGAAGAACAGGAAGCGGAAGTGAAGTGTTACCAGAAGGAATTGAAATTGAAAACGGCAGAAGCCAATAAGAACGTTGAGTCAATGATTTCACGTGAACGAGCCGTCGGCTTAACGACATATCGAAATGGAAAATCATTGTCAATGAAAGACGTTCAGAATTTAATATCAAAGCAAATTTCGAAAATGAAAGAAATGGCCAAATTTCGATTTCGTTATGTACGTTCGTATGCGATTAGTACTACAAGAGAAAGTTGTAATATATAAAACAATTAAAAGTGTCATTATTAATTTCAGGCCCGATTACGTGATGATCTCATCTCGAAAGAAACTATCCTGAACACTTTGAAGATGCTAAATCCAAATTTGGGAAAAGAGGACTATCGTCGCCTGGAGGATGAGAAGTTTTACTACGAGCACGAGCTTTCGAAATTGGAAAACGAAATTAAAAATTTTGAAGAGAAACGCGAGAAATTGAAACTCAAAATAAATTCGACTGTGAAAGCTGAAAAAAAAGTAAGACTCCAAATTTTGAATGAGAAAAAAATAAGCGATAGTTTGAAAAACGACATAAAACGTGCATTTCAAAAGAAGAAGATATCTTTAAGGAAATTACAATTTTTGAAAAAATTCATTTTCAAATTAACTAACGCTTCTGGAGTCGTAGCTCATCCTGAAATAACATCAGAATTGGCGATTGTCCGTAAGGAGCATGAAAATTTGATAAAAAAAATTACAATAATCATGAACGATATTAAACAAATAAGGGAGTCTCTGTCCGTTATGCGAGCTAGTTTAATTGTACGCGATAAAAAAGAAGAAAAGAACCAAGATAGCAACGAAGATGATAACGAAGACGACGACGATAATAATTACGTACGTCAGAAATCAAATTTGCCGCCAGTGGCAGGTGGCTTTTATCTTCCGCTCCGTATCACGTAGTCATTAAGAACAAAATTAAATTGAAATATTGCAGTAAATAAATACACGTAAACACTCGTTTGTTAAAAGAGTTTACAATAATTAGTTTATTTTGGCGTTATTTGGTGTATATTATTCGTTCATTAGAAATAAGTTGCCCTACAAAAAATCGCCTTAGCGATCATGCGTGACTCATTCATTTGTTCTGAATCATTCTCCCTTACCCCTTTCACTTTGTGTTTCAATCGACTTTGTCGAAACTCGAAAAAAAGTCGTTAGGAATTTTACAAATATTATCTTCCATCCAACATCCTAAACAATTCAGCATTATTGACTACCCAATTACAGTCTATCTCGAGTCGAGCAACTGGTATTAATTATACTTTTTAAATTATAAACGAGTACAATTAGCATTACCGTTACTATTACTGCGAGAATACATGGCGAAAAAATGGGGTCTTAGCCTGGGGCCCGACAGACTACCTTCAAAAAATTTCTTGAACAAAAATATTTTGTGCTGTTGTTATATAATGACACCAACAATCGATGTCACACCCGACAACTTCGTGTACACACGAACGACGAACAGCTAGATACATATGATAATGGTGATAATGATGATGACGACGACGACGACGACGATGATGATGATAATAATAAAATTACGACAGCAGTAATAATAATCGTAACAATAATAAAGATATTAGGTACTAAAGACACTGGGTTGGTGTTATTCATTATTTACAATTGTTCCTTATTGTTATCGAGTTCAAACGGTGAAATGATATTAAAAAGAAAAGGAAACCGGAAGTCCAGTCAAGTTGGTTGATAAAAATGAAGGCAGAGTATTCTTATGTAAAATTAATTTTCGACCTGTTATGAGAATTCGTGTAAATAGAAAATATACTTGCAAAAAATCATAAGTATGAAAACAAAAATAATAAAAAATCTTGAATATTCTTTTGTTTGAACGTTTTTTCTCGAAATATTCTGCGAATGAATTTCTTTATATGTGAAAGGCTAGTGCTCGCTGTTTGATAGTCTGCTAAATTTGATGAAAAATTAAATATAAGATTATATTCCCAATTGATTAGAAATTAATTATTGGGTGTGATTACTAGAGATATTAATTACTTTCGTACATACTATATATATACCTCCAGTCGTTTTAACCATAAGCGCGCACAGAAAAAAAAAATTTTTTCTTATGCATTTCTCAACAGGCCATTTCGCTCATATTTATAATATTGTACGAATTTAAGAACACATTTAAATAGTACCGGTATTCCGGTACGTGCAGACGTACGTTCAGCTCTTGAAAACGTATATATATGTTTTTTTCTTGTAATCTCTCGACCATCCTTTCCTTGTCAAATGTTTACAAGAACGAGCTCAACCGGATTTTTCGCGTTGCGATAATGAATCAGATAATGGTCAGGGCTCAAGAGTCGCTTGGTACCTTCCTGTTTCTGTGTACAAAGGTTAGATATAAAAATATTTAAAAAATCAGGCGCTTGAAAAGATATACGTGACTGCGTTAACTATCGATATCTAATTACACCACCCTCTATACTCCCTTCAGAAAATTGTGTACGGTACTGCCCGAGAAAACTATCCCCTCGTCAACGGTCACAATGACAATTCTTTACTATTATAAATTTATAATTATTAAAAATTTCTCTGTGAGATTTCCAAAATATCTTTCGACTGTACTGAGGCATTTAATGTCTATAAAAAATATATATATAAAATTCCATCGTCATTATCCGCCCGCGCGTATCGGTGGATACAAAAAGAAAGCAGAAAATTTCTCAAAAAGAAACAAGAAATACAAGCTCGATCAACGAGCTCAGCCTGAACAACATCTTCTAGCACAAACGACAATTTTCATTAAACGATCTCTCATCTCTATTCAGAATTTCGTGCGTTCGCGTAATTCTTTCCTTTTTTGAGAAACTTTTTAAATTTTCAACAACGTTCTCAATACTATCGAACTAAGCAGAAGAGCTATGAGTCGAAAGGGTGTTGAGGGTCGAGGAGGAGGAGGTAAGACCTTCAGCTCTTGAAAGCTTCACTCTGCAATTTACGCAAACATCGTTCACTCATGCACTCAGCGCACCCGAAGACATTTTTGACTTAATTCCCTCCCCTCTTCTTCATCATCATATTTTTCAAAGCTTTTTCCACTCTTCGCCGTGAAAAGTTCCTGAAGCGGCCATCGTTCTTTACGAATATATCTCGTTTATCTCGTTTCTCGTCCTCGCTTTCTCTCTCTCTCTCTCTCTCTCTCTCTCTCTCTCTCTCTCTCTCTCTGTCCTCTTATTGCCAAAGTTCTCTGTCTCTCTGTCTCTCTGTCTCTCTGTCTCTCTCTCTCTCTCTCTCTCTCTCTCTCTCTCTCTCTCTCTCTCTCTCTCTGTCCTCTTATTGCCAAAGTATTAAAGCATGCAGCATCTCTTCTTGTTCTTCTTATAATTCGGCTTGAGGGGCGGTCTCTCCGAGAGCTGAAATTTCCTGACGATCCTCACCAGCTCGTGAAAGGCTTGATCTACGTTCATACGCAATTTCGCGCTGCACTCTATGTAAGGTATTTTTAATTGTCTCGCCAGATTCTGCGCTTCCTCTATGGATACCTGGAGTGTGGATAATAAATAATATATCAGAACAATTTTGGAATTCCATTTATCATCAAGCATCTAAATATGCATAACTGTCACTTACAGTTCTTTGATGATCAAGATCAGCTTTGTTACCGACCATCAGCATAGGAAATTCGTCGCGATCCTTCACCCTGAGTATCTGCCTGTGAAACTTGAACATCTCGTCGAACGAGGAATGATCCGTCACCGAAAAAACCAACAGGAATCCTTCCCCGCTGCGCATATATTGCTCGCGCATTGCGCTAAATTCCTCCTGGCCGGCTGTATCCAAAACTGCACAAAAAATTTTTTTTATTAACATCGCTAATAAAAGCCTAATCGATCCAAAGAATAATTATCATCAGTGTACTGACTGTCAAGTTTGGCAGGGACGTCATCGATCACGCACTGTTTCGTGTATGAATCTTCGATGGTAGGATCGTAGTCCGTGACGAAGTAACTCTGCAAAAATAAAGTAAAATTGTATTAATACACACTCGATTACAATATCACATTTTCATTAAATACCAGAGACTCATGGGTAATAAAAAATATAATTTATATACGCATCACCCACGTATCGCGCTAATACAGTCAAATACGTACATCTCGTAATTCAAGACCGTTGTATCTAACTGTACACGTTGTTTGTCGAGTAAACTGTCATAAAAATAAAAAACTCGGCAGCTACCGATTGGAAATATATAATGTATATAATATAATATATATAATAATAAAACGTAAGCGGAGAAATAATGTAAAGCAGCACGTAAAGTGTCAGTGGCGTACATATTTAACCTAAAATTGCGACCGGTGTCAAATAAAACTCGATTGCCAAGAATTAAAAAGAGACACAAGAAGAAACGCAAGAGAAAGACAGAGACACATTGAAACTGAAATAAAAAAGAAGTCTAATAAAAAATAATAAAGCGAAGAGAAAAGGATAGGTTAAGTCCCTCGCGTGATCCATGAGCTACCGTTGGTATTACAGGAGGTCGGATTTATCCGTATTAGGAATTCATCAATGGCGCAGCTGCGACCCTTAAGCCGCGTTCGCAGTACGACGACACGGCAACCTTCTCAGGATCGTCTTCGCTGTGGTAAGACGCGAATCGAAGTCCGGAAATGACGTGACCCTTTCTCCATTAACTCTCCCCGATCGTCCCTCCTCTCCTTGCCCCTGTGTCCTCAAGCTGTTATTGCGGGTAATGAATTGAAAGGCTCAGCCCATACTGGATGATATTGGAAATCAATAAAAACCTATAATCATCCTATTCCGTAATATGAGCGACATTTTTATACATTATATATACCCACACGCGAGAAAATTGATATTGAAGTTCTTTGATGAGTGTTATTTGATTTTTAAAAAATTAAGGGAATCTCAGGGCCCACTTGGGGTCTCGTGACACGTAAGTCCACCAGTCCCGGCTAGCAAGGCTTCTGCCTTGTCCCACGACTCCTGATCAATATTAGTATAACGTTGGTACTAGTGCGGGATGTCAACAACGGCCCAGCGCGGCATGTCAACGCTGAGCCAATATTGAGATTGGATCCTACACCGGGCGCCACAAACCGTGCCTGGTCCTAAACTTACCCGCTTCTAATCCGGCACTGGTTTTATAACGGCATACAGCTGAGTGGAATTGAGCCCGATAAGCTTATTCAGGCATGGGGTTAAAATCTAGCACTGGCACGCCTCGGGCCCAGACCAGGCTGCCGGCAGGACTCCCGTGTGCTTGGAGGTTATGGGTTGAAATCCCGATCAGTGTCGTCTGAAGTACAGCTAAGAACTGTGACGCTGACAACTTCAGACTCTTTGTCCGTTTCGCATTCATATGTATGGCTTTCGGATGGCTAGTGAGGTAATGGCAATTGACGTTTCATTATTCGTCATTTAATGAATGACGATTGTGACTGATCATCGTATGGTAGTAATTAAATGGTAACAGCAGTGTATGTACACGATGACGCCATAACAGCTGATCTCAACACAATGAAGAATCTCTGCAATGACAGGGCCAATGCTGTACGGCGGTAAACGATAGTGAGTATCCGTCGTGCTGACTGAGTGACTGACTGACTTACTGACACAAACTGGAAACAGCCGTGATATCATCTGCGCTTGGACAGATATAACCCAGCCTCCGTTAAAGCCAGGCCTAAGATAATATAAAACAATTTTAGATCGCGCTGGTTTGTGTTGCAAGAATAACAATAACAATTGGGGATAATAAAAAGAAAGAAAAAAAGAGCAGATGCAAAATATCGCGAATCGCGTGGATTATTTTTTGAAACCTACGAAGAGGGCGACGGGAAAAAAGAAAGATGGCTGCCTTCGAATTACAGACGCGCATGTCAATGACGATATTATTTTTACGTGTTATTCTTTTATCATCGCATTCGTTCTGCAACTTTTTCCTTGTAGGTAAAATTTAACATACGCGTGACGTGAGTGATAATGAAAAAAAAATTCCTACAATTGCAGCGACCGCAGCGACGACGTTTATTCCCCAAACTAGTAATGGCTCCTTGGGGTGACTATTCATTTGAAAATGTGTAATTCCCGCGTTACGTCAACGATATATATATATCCACACATATCACTGCCGTTCTTGACCTCGTAAAGCATATATATTTAGCACGAGCTTGACTCACGTAGTGGTCTGGATTAATTAATTAAGAAAATCGCTATACGAATTGGCGACTAGACAGAAAAAACAATGAAGTGAATGCCTAAGGTACGTATCGAAAAATTGGCGCGAATTTCAAACAACGACAATCTTTACGTATGCAAATATTGGGAAGAAGAATTTGAATTCAATTTTTAACGACGATACGTTCTGTGCATTTTTTTAAGTACTGGATGATCCACACCAGTCGACGTACGCAACGAATTGGAATTATCGAATATTATACCGAACGAGTAATTAAGAGCGAATTCATGTGTTATGGAAGTACCAAACGCATTACGTCATCTCGGGGGTTCACATACGGTAGCATCGTACTTTGATAATCGCGTCGATGGCCATACGTATCCATCCAGAAAGTCACGCGAGCAAGCAGGCACGCATTCTTAGCCGAATATAGCAGTACACTCTTCTATGGAGTGGTAGTATTACATCGAGTTTCCACTGTAGGTCTGTTTTATCAGCTGTGGTATTACGAAGAACAAACTACAGGATACGTACCAAAGAACGTCACAGCAGCTGATTCTAGTAGCAGCTACTAAAGATACTTATAAGAATACTACTAGAGTAATTCACAAGTCCTATAAGGGATCCGAGAAAGCTTAGTATCGCATATACACAGGAACAATAGAAAAATAAATAATACTAGAATAATAGAAAATAAATAATAATATAATAAATAATAAAAAATAATAGGACAAAAAAGTATGTAAAATTTTTATTTCGTTAACGGGGTACAGGAAAGTTAGTTGGATAGTGAAAATGATTAAATTTAGAAATGTAGGAGTCAGAGTAAAAAAAATATTAACAATCCCACACGGTATAATGGAGGTCTCAGGAGATTCGCCAACATAACGTATAGTCTCTCTTAATGTAATTTTCTCTCTCTCTCTCTCTTTTTCTCCTCACGTGCAAAAGCGACGAGGTTAATGCGTGGGTAGTCCTGGCTATATCGAGGAATGCCACGAAGGTGGCGAGCGAATAGGACGCCATTGCTTACATTAGTATTCTCTTGCCCAATATACTATACGGCATTAGAACTGACGCCGTTTTGTATCTTTCCGAAAGCTGACAAATCCTGTAAATACTCAATATCGAAGAGATACGCCGCACCAAAGAAAGACCAAAGGTATAACGACAGTTTTCGTAATTCAAATTTTCCCGCCCTCCGTATACTTTCGAAAGCTTACGTGTAAATGGACGTTAAAAGCCATTTACAGAGAAACAAACAAGAAATTTTACATCGACACCAAGCACCAGGAAGCGTCCACTCGAGATGCCTGGTTACTCTCAAGAATAAAGATAATGGAAAAAAAATCTAATCGAGAAGGAAACGTCAAAGTAACCAAGAAGCAGACATATGCAGCGTGCGTTACGAATCAACGCGAAGTCGTAAGAAATAGGATAAAGATAACAGTTTTATGAACGCAGTGACAGTGCTTGCGTTAATAAGACCGTCGAGTTATTCGCCTTAAAATTGTTAAATTTTTTGAAAATAAATAAAAAATTCCATGACACAAATAAAAAGTCATAATTAACCGGGCTAGAAAGATCGACGTATATAATTAAAAAATAAATACAATAGTACATTTTCAATAGCCACTGCAAATCGCGCATGAACAAGCTACCTGCGTATAATAAAAGCTCACGCGATGTATTCATCAGTGTGAAAAATATACGGAGTCGTTGAACTAATAAAGATGAAAAAAAAAATAGCCGGTTCCCATAACGGAAACAATGTCCTTTCCCGCCAATCCGGTTCGACCCACGCCAAAAATCTTTACCTTCCGATTGGAAAGGGTTAACCAGCACGTGGGAGTTCGCATGGTGCCAATGCCAAATACGTCATTGCTCGATTATTTTTGTACTTGACCACCCGAGATTCTGCATAAGCTTAAAGAACGTTCAGAGAAAGGAAAAAAAATGATTTAATAATTAATAATTAATTTAATAATTTAACCTGAGCATATATGTATGCTTATAGATAGAAGATGAAAATTTTACAAAAATTTTTGCACGATACTGTACGCATGGTGAATGCTATAAGCAAATAATTATCTCATAGGTGGAAAGATACCAAAAACTGTATGGTATGTAATGCATACCAATACGCTATAGCTATATATTGTATTTGCATATGTGTACTATTGCTGTAGTGCGTACGGAAAGGACCCGCTAAGAGATACGTAAAGAATTCTGACGCAGCGTGAGATGCGTAGGTTAACACGAAAATTTACGTAACTAAGTATACTTTGAAGTTCGCATATCGAATTAGGAGAGACGGTTTACACAGTGCGTGACGACACATGCGTTTCTGAGTATATCGTACACGTCGATAGTCAAACGCCACATATGTATAGATACGCGTACGATACTGTACGATAAAACTGATGCATAACAGAGGAAACAGAGATAAGTAATCCTAACGTTCAGTTGAACGTTGTGTCGGGCTCTTCGTATGACGAAGTCGGCCCTGGCCAAACGCTGGACGTTATTTACTCCAAATATTACGCACGGACATACTCTGCTATGTATGAGATTTTATTATTTTCCACATGTTCTTTGTATTTTAGTTTTTACCCGACTAGCTGATCTTACTTCATTTTGTCGCGTTGACTGCATTGTAATATTCGTGGTATCAACGAAGGCCCGACACCCATTTTTACTTTTTAAAAGTTTTTTTGGGGGATCTGTATATATAGATAAGTTCATGGAATGTCATATCATTATACTATTTATGGTTATTATTCTTGGGACCTTCGTGACTAATGATAAATGAGAATTAACGATCGGTGGTTTTACACGTGTCTTTAATCGGATGACCGATAACGCATGATGATTATAAATGTAAAATCGATGTGGTGTTAGACAAGCGAAAAGTCATCGCGACTACGAAATGTAATAAATTATATATATTATTACTACGAAAATTATTAAACTACGAGTATTATTGAGTTTTTAATAATTTTTTGTTACAGCTAATGAGTATAACGGTGCTGTATGGGAAATGTATTTTTGAAAAATCTCAAAATGAATCGATTGCAGCAGACGATTCTGTGGCTAATTTATTTCGTTGGATACTTTCAAGGGTAATGGCAAAGCAGTCGTCACAATCGCTTACACGATAAGCTGATATTGAATGATCGGTCGGATGACTAACTTAGCAAGTTGGTGGCAAATGACAGTCATTGATTCATTTAATCGTTAGGAATCATCGCGAATTTAAAAAACTTACATACGTAAACGAGAGCGCCGGACGTTTCCATAAAAGCGTCAAGTTAAAAATAAAAATCTAACCGCCCCATCTTCGCGAGGGGAAGGATAACAGAAGCTAGAGAAACGAATATTTACAAAGCTCCAGTAAAAGGAGCACGCACTGTGTCACTCTTGTCATGAGTAAAAAAAGTAAATCCGCATACGTCGATTATAAACGTAAATAAGTATCCTTGTATAACGAGAGAAAGATGGGATCCTTCTAAAAGATGAGTGTTGCGAGTCAAAAAAATGTTTCTAAACGTAACTGGGAAAATTCCGATCTCTCAAAGGTATTTTTAAAATAGTTGACAGCTAGCTCAATAGCTTTCTTGTCATGTCTTGTGTTTCAAACGTTACAAATTCAGATCATTTTATCCGTCCCATTCGTTAGCACCAATGAAACGTGTATCGTCAAAATCACTGTTAAAATTGTGTGTTGGTTGCTCTCAAGAAATTAAGAAGATAAATATATATACATATATTAAATATAAAGCATATAAAAAGAGCGCCGTCTAATCACCTGTATAAATTGTATAGTGATAGCAGATTTTCCAACACCACCGCCACCAACGACGACCAGCTTGTAGGTCTGTGCGTAGCTCTGCCTCTCGCCAGGTCTCGACATCTTTTCTTAGCGTCAGACGAGATTTCTTTTCTATGGCACTGAACACGTAAGATATGTAAATCACATAGAAGTATCACGCGAGACAGAACGAGACGGAAAAAGAGTGACGAACGAAAACGATGCACGAAGTAGAATCCGACGAAGACGCCACTGACTATAATAATTGTATACTGCTATTTAAGATCACAGAGAATTGTAAAAGTATCTCTCGTTCCTCTACAGTCCCACAGCGTGACAGGACCGTTCGCGACTGAATGGCAAAACGCGAACACAACGGACTCCGTCCAATTTTTTTCTTACACTACTGCGTCTCTCTTATCCTCCTTGTCACATATACTATCAGGTTAGCCAACAGGATGGATTAATGGTAACTTCAGGGCCGTACATAACACGTGCTATGTAACATTACGGTTGGCAAAGAATTTATATGAAACTCGCGATTTCACATAGAGAAGGTGAACTAATATTTTCCCCTTAAATTAAATAGGTATTTTATATGTGGATTTGTAGGAAGAAATGAGGCTTCTTTGTACTAAACTGAAGCTAAAACACGCTTGCCAACGTTCACTTTTTCTAGGCAGGAACGTAACGAGGTGAAGGGTGCCCGTGGCTTTAATTATGTTTGTACGAACCTTGGATAATTCGCTATAAGAAATCTCATTGCACTTGCTGTTTTTTACAGTCGATACTGAGAATTTACTGTAGTAAGTATTCTGAATGTAGATAGAATTCAGAGCATTTTATGATTTCAACAGACTCCTCAGATTATTTATTATTTATGACGACAGATATTGAATGTCTTTTTGTATTCATAATCGTCTTGCTAATAATGCACGAATATCAAAGTGCCAATATTATTGATAATAAATTATCTCGTTGCATTGCATCTAACGGAAGGATGTATTTACGTGAATAATAAATTATTTGATAGTCAAGCGCATGTCAAAATCTCTTCAACATCGTACGTTCCTATACGAGGCAAGCACTTGTTGAGGGACAATAATAAAGTAGGTATAACTTTAAAAGAATGCACTCCTAATTAGTCACGCGATCAAACTGTTCTAATTGATTAAGAATTGGTCTACTGTGAATCCTAAAGTGAAACGACCGTTAGACTCTTTATTTGAGCATAGATGACACACATATTAATATTGTATTAACTCGATTCCTTTTTTATTTGTAATAGATCTCCGCAACAATGGACATTATAAAATTATTTTATGTATTAACTGTATAATAGATAAGATCTCATTTTTCTCATTTTTGAAAAATTATTATTGATAGCAATGAAGTTAAGAGCACGAGATAATTATTGCGCCAAGTTCCCTGATTAGACAACAAATTACTAGAAGTGTCATTACAATCATTAGCAAAATGCTTATATTACTAAGCGCAGATTTTTATCGTGTACAACAAGGAATCTGAGCACTTTAAGGGGTACCCGGGCCACGGCGTCCATTTTTTCCATGAACCGGTAAATTATTAGACGGCTAATACGCCATCTCTTTAGCGAACCTGGCAACTAATTTTGACAGCTGTCAGTTTACTGATATACATGTTAATCAAAACGTGCGTGACTATATCTGAAGTAGGTACAGAAAATTTTCGATAATTTTTATTACTTATATCCAAAACAAGACAATAATAAATAGAACATCATTAAGTTATTGATTAATAACAATGAGTAAAGATAACCGATCGTCCAATTTTAATTGTACAATTTCTTAGAACTACACGCTGTGTGCCACGTGTAATTTAGTCCTGCGACTTGGACTTGACGCCAACTCAACTCAAGCATAGCGGCTGACTGCGGCTGACTCGTGAGCCAGTCGACTGGACGAGCCCAAGATGGCAGATACGATAAACGAGATCGTGGCCCAAGCCCAGGAAAATATTACGGGAAATGTAAATGCAACGACCACGAGGGTCCCGTCGACTCCTGAAGGAATGGCTATAGCTTATGGGAGTTTAATAGTAATGGCAATTCTGCCAATCTTTTTTGGAAGTTACCGATCCGTAAGACACCACAAGGAACAGCAGGTTAGACACAGTCAAATTCTCTTTTATTTTCCTTCTCGTTTATTGTCGGTCACTATTTTTTTTAATCTTAGCGGTTTGCATTTGTCTCTTTATAATTTCTGTGACTTTTGTGTGCTGACATTAAATTTAAACAGAGTATACATTTGTAGATAAATCATGGCAGGTTTCATGTGGCCTGGATAACAAGGCACAACTACTTTTGCTAACATATTGTTCACTGCTGTTTGAGTTTTACGATTGTCATCTTTCTGTGGATTGTTTTTTTGAAATATATTTTGTTTATTTGTGCTGAAATGGGGAAATTTAAAAAATTGAAATTTTTTTGGAGTAACTTTGCAGCCTTTGCGCATGAGTATTCATCGTTATAATAATTATTTTTGTTTACCTCTATTTTACAGAAAAAGTTTGAAGACAGTGGGGAGAAACCAGAAACTTTGTCACAGAAGGAAGCAGTGATGTTTCCTTTGGTAGCCAGTGGCGCATTGTTTGGCTTATATCTATTTTTTCAGGTAAAAAGTTTATATTTAAATCATCTTATGTTATTACCATATAGTATAAGATTAATCTTTTAACTAATATATTTTCAGATATTTTCAAAGGAATATATTAATCTACTCTTGACTGGTTATTTCTTCTTTCTTGGAGTTCTAGCGCTCTGTCATCTTACAAGGTAAATAAAGAGTTAATGAAAATTATGTCAACAAAAACTTTGTAGCTGGCTTAAAATTTAATGACTTTCTTCTCTAATTTCAGTCCGTTGATCTCATCATTGGTACCAGCCGCAATCCCAAAGACACAATATCACATTCATTTTACTGGTGCTAAAGACAATAATGTGGAGGACATTATTGATTACAAATTCAATCTGCATGATATTGTCTGTCTTATCTGTTGTTCTTTTGTTGGTGCTTGGTATCTCATCAAAAAGGTTAGTTTTCAAATGATAAATAGATAAATAAATAAAAATGTAACAAACTGAAAACTCAAATATTTTGTTACAGCACTGGATTGCCAATAATCTGTTTGGCATTGCATTTGCTGTCAATGGTGTCGAGTTACTGCATCTTAACAATGTTGTGACAGGATGTATATTGCTATGTGGTCTTTTTGTTTACGATATATTCTGGGTGTTTGGTACGAACGTCATGGTGACAGTAGCCAAATCATTCGAGGCACCGATCAAACTCGTTTTCCCACAGGATCTCTTGGAGAAAGGCCTGGCAGCTAGTAATTTTGCTATGTTAGGTTTAGGTGACATTGTAGTGCCAGGAATATTTATTGCATTGCTACTTAGGTTCGATCACAGTCTCAGTAGGAAATCCAATACATATTTCTATGCAACCTTCTTCGCCTACTTTATGGGATTACTTGCGACAATGCTGATAATGCATTTATTCAATCATGCACAACCTGCACTACTTTACCTGGTGCCTGCGTGTCTAGGAACTCCTCTATTGTTGGCTCTTGTTAAAGGCGACATCAAAGCTCTCTTCTTGTAAGTATCCCCAGTGTTTTTCTCTACTTAAGAGTTTTGCACACCATTTCAAACTAGTCAGGTTAATCATATTCTGCTTAAATTCTATTTTAGATACGAAGATCATCCATCAAAATCAAGTGAGGAAGTGCAAGTAGACGCAAAGAAGGACAAGTAATGAATAAGTACATGAATTTAAAACAGCATGATGCGAACACCGGTACGTAAACGTACCGCAATCTAATCGTCTGTCAAATTTATCTTGTTCTGCGAAAAACTGCCACCTTTCATAGTGACCAGCTAATAATCTTAAAACATCGCACGATTACTTTGTGATCATGAACAGTGAACTCTTATGATTGCAAACATTAACCTTTCTATTCGTCGAGTCGTATTAATTCTTAATACAAAAACAAAAAAAAGACATCTACTGATGTCTCATGCTGATAGCTAAGCTGTAACATACGTCTCAGATTGATAAATTATAAGAATCAATCTATCGCAAATATTCGGCGATTAACAAATTTCTCGCGCACCACGAATTACCTTCCGTTACGAATCATTTGATTTCGCCAAAGACGGAGGAATCACGTAGTGAACGAGCAATGAATTCTCGTAGATAAGAAAATAGAATTTTCAATTTAGATACCAGCAAGGAAAGAAAAGAAATTATAATAAACAATTACCTCTTAATCGACGGAAACGTTATTAAAGGTAGGTAAAGATAATGATGGCGTCCCCATAATTTATTATCCAATTAGGCCGAAGTATGTAGTAATTACTATACGAGTCATTCCAAATACGATCATTAAATGCTCGAAGACACAATGAGACGAGACACAGATCAGATACGTCAGGAGAAAATATTTACTATAGTTACTCTTTGTGTGAGCAATCACATTAGGCGAGGATTTAATCGACATTTAAAAAATACGTATATACATGCATCGAGTTCTCTTAGATGCTTGTATCAGAAAATTAAGATGCTTATATAAGAAAAAGTAAAAATCAGAAAAACCAAAGTCGGCTAATAGAATTTTTTTACAAATAATACCGACTTCAGCATCCGCGCGTGGGATTGAGAGTGCATGGATAATTGTTTGTTAGGTAATTTTTCTATGTCCTTTTATAATTAGGTGACTTGTCGTTCTTACACCGATCCGCTAGTGCGTATGTGCACATAATATTACTAAGTAATGCATAAAAGAATTGCGCGAACAATGATCGCTGTAAGTAAAATGAAGAAGCAGACAAAAACGTGACTCTAGCGCACAAGACCGAAAACATTTATTCTTCCATTGAGGTTTAAGGAGGGAGCTTTTTGATTAACGTCTTTTGGCACGACACGATTTATCTTGTTTCTGATACTTGAAAAGGTAATCAATGATATGTCACGTTACTTAAAAATTGGCTAAGTAATAAATATTATAATGTTAATCTGTAATTTATCACTTGTGATTTTTTTTTGAAACCTTATGTAGCGTTATTGATAATGTTATTATTGGGTTAAATAGTAAAACTTGCTGTCAATATGCGTCTTCTTTTTTGCTCTTTGATACTATACACGTAGTGATTTAGAAAATTACATGTAATTTAAATAAATTTCAGACATTTAAAATGGCTTGTAAGACTCTTGTTAATGGTTAGGGTGTACGTTCTTAGAATTTAGAGTTCTAATCGGGGTTCATGTAGAACGGTATGGCAGCGAGTCCCGCAAGTCGGGAAATTACCGTTTTACTGAGCGTTTGTAAAAATGTGTTCTAACGAAACAGCGTTGAATGGAGTACTAATATCCGGGGTAGACAGTAAATGCTTAGAATGCGCTTTAAATCTTTTTATTCCTAAATTCATATGGGTACACATAAAAAAGATGAATAAAACCACCGAAACTAAGCTTTCGCAGCATCTTCCACCGCCAAATTTTGTGCCGTTATTGGTTCCAATTCTGTTATTCCATCCTTTGATATTTTCTGTACCTTAAAATTCGGTAAATTAACTATGAGGCGCTTGTGAATTTCGCGGACGCATTTCTTCATCAGCACGTATGCTTGCTCCTCGGAAAGATCTAAAAAACGAAATAGAAATATTAGACAGGACTGTTGTACGGAAACAGGAAAATGATTTTTTTTTTTAATAACTGGGTAAGTGCAGTATTTACCTAAATTATGATATCTATCCAAAATTGTGAGAGAGAAGAATCCACCATAGCCATGAGCTGCGTATGGTACTTTTATGGAGGATGCAAGATAGTCTATGAAGTACAATTCAGGACCAGTTTCATCATCATAACCTGCCATAAGTAAATTGACAAAGTAAGGAGTTCTGGTGCGAAGGTAATCAGCTAAGTTTCTCCTGGTAAAGCTGGCAGCTGCCTTCGGAGATAGTTCATACCCATTACGCATTTTATACAATTGTATATTCTTGCCAATATACTCTGAGAACTGAGTTGTATCTCCAGATTCTCCAGACACGGCCATCACAAGCTTATTAGAAATCTTATGGATCTTTTGCTCATCTAAAATAGGGAGGAACAAAAATCGTTAAATATAATCATGCATTTCAATGTTTAAGCAAAATAGAAATAATGATAAAGGTTAACCAATATTTTGAAGTTTAAAATTAAATTTTAATTACCACTTTTCATGACCATAATTGACTGGGCATTTGTCATATCGGCTGCGACCAACACAAAGTCTCTAAATTGAATTCCAATTAAACACTCCATTTTCTTCGTTAATATTTTACTATTCAAGAACAAGCGGTCAGTTATTCTGAAAAACGCCTGTCACTCGAATATGGCCGAAGACATGTTTGTTCCCCGACCAATGTGGCCAACAATCCCAAATCTCCATAAATGCCAACAAATTACTAGACACAGGGATTTTTTACGAAAAAAGAACAAAACAGGATTGGTGGCGTCCCTGAAAAAACCGTCTTTCTTTTATTTTATACGTCGCGAATTTTCGAATGACTTTTCGAGCGCGAAGTCCATCAAGTCTGTAATGACAACCGGATACTCTGAAAATATACCGATTGCTTGACATATTTTTTTGTCTGTCTTGATTACCATTGTTTTTTAAAATGGTTAATTGCCTATGATACTCCGAACGACCGACATTGTAATCGGCGTGTTTAAAAACGTTGCCTCGTGACATACGCTCAGCAAAATGCCAGTAGATCAGATTCAGTATTCAGAAAAATACAATGATGACAAATATGAGTACAGGTTAGTGAAAATCTTGACATTTAACTTTTTTAGTGCGACTGTAATCCTTCAATTTTTGCCACGTCATAGCACTTATTCCAACAAGCGAAATTATTTGTAAGTATAAATATGTTGTCTGATTACCAAATGTTATTGTAGACACGTTATTCTACCAGCTGATTTAGCCAAGCATGTACCCAAATCTCATCTGATGACTGAAACTGAATGGCGTAACTTGGGAGTTCAGCAGAGCCCAGGATGGGTTCACTACATGATGCATGGACCAGGTATAATGAATACTTAGTGCCGAATAGTTGTATCATTATGATAGAGTTAGCTTTGAACTTTCTTAAATAATTATATATTTTTAAATATTGCTATTGAACAGTCACGTCATTATTTTCTTTTTACTTTGGACTTGCAGAACCACACGTTTTGTTATTCCGCAGACCAAAGACTGATGTCCCAGTCCGAAATGGTTCAGTCCAGCAAAACCAAAACGTTTATTGCAATTAAGTTTTGTTACAAATAACTGCTTTGTTAAAAACAGTACCTACCTTCTGATGTATATTGTTTAACATACATATGACAGCATTTTGCATTGGTTGCAAACTTACAGATTTGGCAAGCTAATATGATGAGATTGTTACTTGTTTACGTATAACTCTAAGATACTACTAATAATAAGATAACATTGTACAATATTTTTCATGTAAGGTATGGCTCAAGCTGCATTGACAAACTTCAAATAGTAATTAATTTAGTATCACTCGCTCGTCCATATAATCTACATAAAAGCTAGTTTTATGTGACATGGTATGATATTTCTTTAATTGTCAAAGCTTGTCAATGCAGAATCCTCCGTCATGTGGGTGAAGGAATAAAAAATAAATTATTTTTGCATCATTTTGTAGATAAATCATTGCGACCTATGATCTTTACGTTAATTGCTGATACGAGATGATTTTTTATTATCATCAATGATATTTTATAATTAAAATTGTCATTGTACTCTACTTTTAACTGTAAAATCAAATATTTCATAATGAAAAAATATGTATTGTTGAATCACTTGTTATTAGTTACGTATTTGAAATTCATAACAAGATCAAATGTAGGAGTTTCAGAGTTTTTCAGATATAATTAAAAAAACAATGACAAGAATTATTTAATACTTTTTTATGGACTTGCGTATCAAAGCCAATCGTTGCTTGTGAGCTTCTGTAACTGTGGCTCGTTTATATGGTCGAACTTCGTCAGTGCCAAAACCAGGAATCCACATGTTCCAATTTCTCTCTGAAATGCATATTGATGCAATGAAATCATTGATGATATTAATATAATCGTTGATGATATAAATATAAGTTTACCTAAATGTAACTGTACATCTTTTACTTCTACTGTATTTGCATGCCTGTGCTTAGCTAACAAACAAGCAGCATTTACAGTTGTCTCAACAAAATCATCTGCCAGCTGTAAGAGTATTTCTTCGACTTCTTCATCTAATTGCTCTGTAGGATCTACTTCTCTCACTAAATCTTGTAACCTTGTCTTCGTAAGAAACTAAAAAGAAACAATGAGTCAAATTCTTTACAACAATTATAAAATGAACTTTCTTACCTGTGGAAAGTCTGTAGATGAGCTTGACATCGATGACTGTTGTGCCTGCTGAACTTTTGTTGGGTGAGATGCAAATGATGCCTGTGGAGGTTGTGTCTGAGCTTGTAAAGTCTGCACTGTATTATTACTCTGAAGTGTATTCAATGCTGGTGCTGGAGGATTACTTGGACCAACTGACTGAAGATTTCCCAATGCAGAATTCATATCTGCATTTCCAGTACCAGTTTGCATAGAAGACACTTGCTGAGCCATTTCTACATAAAATAACAAACTTGAACTTATTAAAGTTATCAAGAACAAACATGCTATTTTTAAATACATGACATTGACATCAAAAAGGTTTCAATTTGACAAAATACATAACCACAAAATTGCAAATAACATAATTTGCCGAAAAACAGAGGAACGATCATTTTTTTTAATTCTTATCATTGAACAACAAAGAAAACATTCTCCGCCTTTTCCTCAGGAAAAAAATTTTCCAGCAGCTACAAACCTCTTTAGAAAGTTCTATTCTTTACGATTACCTTTTGTTTGAAACTTCAAAACCGCGAGAACATCAACTACAGGCTTACAAACTTGCATCAAACATTAGTAATTTCAGAAACAATCAGAATACCTCAAAATCTCTATAACATCGAATTGTCCAATTGAATACTATTCACCCAACATTTTCACTTATCCCAAATATCCACTAAAGTAATGCAAAGGATAATAAATTACCTAAATACAGTTACCATCGACAAATCATAAGATCCATCAAAAAAGTATTACAAACAATAGATGTCGGTACACGTAATTCAAGAGGCGAATGAAGTAGTATGTAGATTTAATTTGACCCAAACTTCAAGTCATTCCTGGCAAGAAGCCGATACGTATTATGGGGTTTGTGCCGTTGAACTGGGTAGTTACATGCGCGCCGTCGTGTAAAGTGGGACGTTATACCTTAACGTCTCCGAATATCGTATTCTAGCGAAAAATTGAATTTCATACACATTCTCTGTCATCAAACGTTCGAATTCATTCTGCTCCAAAATCATTCTCATCCAACTCCAAGAAAGCATATAACTCACGAGAAAATCAGCTCCAAGTTATTCCTCTTTCCGCTGCTACTCCAGTTATCGCTTCTGCCGACACTGCTATTTGACGTCCTCGTATAAAGGGCAACGGTGAGTCGAATTATTTAACATTTTACACGCATTAATTTCGGTACCTCATAGAAACTAACGATCAGTCGAGTGCTTAGACTGACTTAGAGTGCTCTGCAATGATTAAGTGTTCCGTGTCTTTATTTATTTTATATGTTAGAATATTATATATTGGTATATACTTGACAGATGGGCATCGATCGCATGGGCATCTGTCTTAACGAGAATTTTCAATGATTCCTGCATAACTCTAGATGCTCGCTTGTGAATACTCGTTGGAAGAAAGAAATACATGTATGGCGAACAGTAGAATTTTGTTTTATAATTTCTTGTCTCACGAGATACGTGAGACTTTAATTCTGAATTTTTGGTTAGTAGCTTGATTAGTGCGAATTTCTTTCGACTATTTGGTAACGAGTTATTGATCTAATTCATTTGTGTATATAAACGTTTTACTCAGATTTTGAGTTTCTAATTTTGCACACTGACGATATGATGATTTTACTTTTATCGTTTAGCTCTCGAAATCTATCTCGAGTTTTATTTTAACATTGATTACGACTTCTGGTGATCGTCCAAAGAGATTCTCATTCTTACGAAAAAACATCAGTTATATTTTGGCTCGATAAACTCTTCTTTGAATATTATATACATACTTATGTATGTCTTTATCTATAGGTATATTTACGCATTACGTAATACTGCATTGCATAGTATTTACGAGCCCTCAGTTTTCCCTCAGTTTCATGTTTTTCCTGTGTAATAAAATTTCGATTTTCGTATCGCGCAAAACAATATTTCTACCTTATATCGACGTTTGGTATCTTCAAATGCACGTGGCCGTATGCTTCCTCAATTTTGGATAATAAAAATCTGTTTTACGATAACAAATTCACAGAAATTCCTCGTACGATTTTTGTAATAATCGTCTAATAAAATGCACTATATACATATAAAAGCTGTTACTCATGAAAAGTATAATCTTTATTATCAGCACCTAATTCGATTCTTTTTATAATTATGTCGTATAGCCATTCCGCGTCTGTTTAATAAGTGATTTATAATTTTGGCAAATTTAATTACTAATTAAGACTGTATCTAATAGGGGAAGGGGGGTTATCATAAGTGGTATAAAATCACGTTTCAATGCCTGAAGGTTATCAACAAATTGCTTGAATCTGAAAGATAATTAGAAAATACTTTAAGATGGGCAATCATTCGCAACGTAACTGCAGCACAATCACAAGGGCATAATTTTATTGTCACTCAAAAAAAAATCACCGTTATCGCTTTACTTATTGATAAATCAAATTCCTTGTCGCGAAGACTTATCGTTATCAGAGTATTTACCTACATGGTGTGCATAAAAGGGTTTAAGGTTCAAAAGAGGGATGCAAAGGATTTATCATATTCTTAAGCTTGCTTGGTGATATGCAATAGAATGTTTTCTATTTACCATTTAATGACTCCTCGTTTGCAGATCCAGATTAACAGCTAGAATCATCAATGGCAGACAACAGTGAAGCCGCAAAACCGTAAGTTAAACCGATCGATTATCATTTTCATTTATTATATTAGGTACAGTAACTATGCAATTGGCTTCATAATATATTATATAAGCCGAATGACGTGGAATTTCAGACCCCCTATAATATAATATTATCTATTTAGTAATGATTGATAATAACAAAATTGGGATCATTGACGTCATTTCGTTAGTTAACGTTGTTTCTAATTGTGTAGTAACCGTTTCCAAATTTTGTGCATAATTTTTTACTATACCCTAACAAAACTGTGATATAACTAAGAATGCATATTGTACATGCAGTCATTAAATTGACAAGAGATTCTCTTGATAACTTTTGTACAATTATTTACACAGATTCTTGGATGTACATTTATATATTGTACAAGTTTCATCTGTACTTTAAATTCTAAGTGATGAAAGTATAGTAATACATGTACTAAACGAATTGCTGTTGTAGGAACATATGTCGTGTGACACTCAATTAGTATCATTATACCATGTAACATATGCTTAATAGAAATATACCATAGTATAGTTGACTCTCTGGAGTGTACATAGTTACGTCATTGGATTTAGTAATGTCACGTTCAATAGAATCTATTTACTTTTAATTTGAAGTCTGTGTGGTAAAGAAAGAATTAATGAAATATGTTTTTCCTTTTCAGAATTCCCAAATTGCCACCGAAGCAGCAAGAAGTCAAGTGAGTGACAAGTCATCAAAAAGAATTTTTCTATTCAACACTTCCATGATATGCAGTCTATTGACTCATTGTCTTTTCACAGTAGGCTTAACATGTTATATTTCTCACCGATCCACAGGCTTTGCTGTATTATTATAAGTATCTGTTGTGTGAAAATTGCTACTGGTATACCTAATGAGTACATGATACCTTCTTATCAAATGTTAATACTTTAATGTGAAATCAATACGACTCCGTTACCTATGTTATCTTTCTAAAATTTATTTATCTGATCGATTGTGCAATTCTAATAACAAAAGTGATCGCTTGAACATGACTCCTTATTATTGAATATAAGTGTTAAATTCTATTTCATCAACTCTGACTGCTCAACAGCTATTATAGTGAACATTGCTGCTTGGTAAACGGTCTAGTAGCGAATTAGATCCCTCACTATGTCAATGCCACAAGTATATTTAACTCTGCAAAAATTGTCGTATGTTCGTAAGAAATAGCATATATTATCGTATTCTAGTATATATTATAGTCCATTTGGCTTTGACGTGGATTGTACACAATTTATATAGATTATTGAAAATAATTAGGAGCCTTTTTGCTAGAGGTTCAATTTCATAAGTGCATATTGCGACATTGCTATTTTGTTGAATAAAATTTCGACAGTCTATTATTTTTTAATGTTAGCCGGTCTCCTGATCCTACCGGTATATATAAAGATACATTCACTCCAAAGATTCGAACAAGAATTTCGTATCACGTGAGCGTTTTCTTATCTCTAACAGATCGATGCCTGAATTATCAGTCCATTTGATTAGCACTAATGAAACATAATAGAAACATCATCCCATGTTATTAATCTTTTTATGAGATTTGTATGAAAATATGGAACAATATGTGTATTAGGATGGTAAGAATTATTTGCGTAAAAGATTAATGATTATTGTTTTCAGGCTTGTACCCAAGATCATCAATGGCGGTATTGCTGGTATCATTGGCGTGTCGGTGGTTTTCCCACTGGACTTGGTTAAAACACGGTTACAGAATCAAGTCGTGGGACCCAATGGTGAAAAGATGTACAAATCAATGTAAGTTCACTATTTGGGCTATGCAATGTCACATTTAAGATACCTTCACTTGAGATAATCTCCTTCAAAAGAATAATATTGTTGCAGGTTTGATTGTTTCAAGAAAACATACAATGCGGAAGGATATTTTGGAATGTATAAAGGATCCGCTGTAAATATTTTATTGATAACACCAGAGAAGGCTATCAAACTCACTGCCAATGATATGTTCAGGCACCATCTGTCTACAGGTCCAGGGTATGAGAGATTGGAGTTCTTAAAAAAATCTTAATATATGTTTCTTTTTAGAGTTATATTAAAAAGAATATATTAAATCCTTTAGCCAACCTCTACCACTTCCTCGTGAAATGTTAGCCGGTGGATCTGCAGGTGCATGCCAAATAGTAATAACGACACCAATGGAATTGCTTAAAATTCAAATGCAAGATGCTGGTCGTATTGCAGCTGCAGCCAAGGCTGGTACGTGTACATCAGTGTACTACTGATTTCTTTCTCTTGTTTAAAAAATTATATTTCTTATCACAATTATAATATAAATTTCGTAATATCACAGCTGGTCAGCACATTCCCAAGGTATCAGCATGGTCTCTCACAACAGATCTTCTTCGTAAACGAGGTATCCTGGGGTTGTATCAAGGAACAGGTGCAACTGCCCTTAGGGACGTGACTTTCTCTGTCATTTACTTCCCACTGTTTGCAAGATTGAATGATCTTGGTCCTAAGAGAGAAGACGGATCCTGTAAGCCATTAAAAACCATTATCGTATCCCTCATATATTTTTTGTCTTTAAATAATATTAGTTCAAGCTTTGCAATACCTTTTTCTTCTTGCAGCTGTCTTCTGGTGCTCCTTCTTAGCTGGTTGTGCTGCCGGCTCGACCGCTGCCTTACTAGTTAATCCATTTGACGTAATCAAAACGAGATTACAAGCAATCAACAAAGCACCCGGAGAGCCAACGTATAATGGCGTCCTGGATTGTATAGGGTAAGTACTAAAATCGTTGTTATTCAAGTAATCTTCTGTACAATCATATAAGGGCTTCTGTACTTTTTAGAAAAACATTGAAGAACGAGGGACCCACGGCATTCTTTAAAGGGGGTGCTTGTCGTATGATTGTAATAGCGCCATTATTCGGTATCGCTCAAACCGTTTACTACCTCGGGGTAGCGGAGCGACTCATGGGTCTCAAATAAAAGCGTTGTCGACGTTTTCGTCGTCGTTCTAGAAAGTTACTCACGCTTGTGGGTCCGCGCGAGAAGCAGACAATAATACAAGTATTTTTAGGAGTAAAGCTAATTTCTATTATATTGGGAATCTCAGCACCAGTCTGGCCATGCGACGACTGCTCGGTCGATTTACAGAGAAATGAGGGTATCGACTGGAGACTCAGTTTCCACTAAATATTAAATGACGACAGTGGGAATTGTGGTAAGAAAATAGAAATGAATCTTCCAGATCAAGAAATTAACTTCAACACTGGTTATACACGCAGTGCTTCAGTAGCCACTTGAGGAAGATTTTTTTTTATATAAACATACTTTGCAAATAGTATCATTTTGCTAGAATAATTTTTGTGTGGATTGTATTGCCACTAACAGATGCTTAATGCTTGTATTTTCACAAACATTCTTTTTGAGAAGTGGACTGTAAGTCTTGATTTATAACTATTTTTATTTGTGCCATTAGTAAATGATAAGTGACGTTAAAGCAAAGCAAGTGTCTGCAATGAGATTCAAGAAATTGTAGATAATTTTAATCAGTGTCCACAGGCAGATACCGATTATTGAATTAAACAAGGAAGTGTTTAGAGTGTCAATTAAAGTCGAAGGAATTTTACTAGCCAGTCAATTAACTAAAAGGTTGACAGCATTCGTTAGAGAAACAATTTACTTTATGAAAATGTTTTTTTTTTTTCAGTGATCGATATACTCAGTAATTCTCTAGCCATCCAACCTATGCATTTTGTCTTTGTTACGAGTCCTACTATTTCTACTCTTGAACACTTATTAGACTTCATCCGATTAGCTGGAATGAATTTAATGGAACATCAAAGAAAAAGTAATACTTAGAATTTTTCGATGAAAACACTGCCCTTAATTATCCTTTGATATTAGTATAACCAATAATCTGTGCCCAATCATTGTCTATCCACTGTTTATATAAACGAACAATTACATATTTCATATCAGTACTTTCCATTGCACTGCGAAAATATCTTGGCTCAACTTGCTGAAGAAGAAAAAACCAAGTCCAGTATATATAATTTCCTTAGTAAATTCATATTCAACGACATTATAGATATTCAGACGTTTATCCTCAGTGTCGCTCTCTTCCTCTCTCCCTTCGGTATACGGTATTTACCCATTTTATTTTGTAATTTACTTTGTAAATAGCTATGCGCGCGCACTGCACGATTAGGCATATATGTAAGTTTTGATGAAATTTTAAGTGAACAGCGAACAATTACGTGAAAAAAAAAGCTTTTAAAAGCGTAAAAATGTCTAGCTCGAAATTTATGTTGCGCAATCCTCGTTGTTCCTGTTCTCATAGACGACAGAAAATGTCAACCAAGAAATTTATCTGAACTCTATAATTATTCCCTGCGATGATATTAAATTTCAATAACGCCTTGCCTGCTAATACTCATCAATTACGTTTACAAAATCGTGTTTTCTCTTTTTTAACAAAAAGATTAATCTCATCGACCCATGCTCAAATTCTCTTGTGATCCATCTGTCTCGAGCTTATTCTTTTATAATATAATACCATGTATATAATGTGACCATAATTCACACAGTCATGCGGATTTTAGTTTTTCTTTTTATAATCAATTTTATATAGTGCAGAACCTTTCGTTTAGGCGTATCTTTTACTTTTGTGGTTAGATCTTCTCTCGTGAAATTCTTCTTCTCTTATTAAAGAGAAAGAGTGCGTGGAATAAAAAAGAAAGTAAATATTACCATTAAACACAGAAAATTACTTCGTTGACTGTGCGGACAGTAAACTGGTGTGTCGGGGTTGTATTATTTATATATATATCCTAATGTTACTAATTTATAATAGTCAAAGGTATATATTGTTGCGAGAAGAATATAAATAAATAATGTTGTGTCAATCGTCAATGTAATAAAAGAAAATATATGTCCGGGTGTATCAACGATGGTTCATACTGAACTGCTGTATTATTACGACTTGCTGATATAAAACCGAATATAATTTTATCCTGTCAGCAAATTCTGATTAAGATTAAATTATTATTGTTCTTGTTGCAATCTTGTTCTTTCTTTGTTCACACTACTTCAATTTACTAACTCATCTTATGCCTTTGACATTCTTTCTACGTATATTTAGGATACTATTTCAGCTTATTATACACCAAATTGCATACATATTTACAGTAAACGCTAAACAGTATAGGTATATATATATATATATATATCTTTGTAATCTGAAATCCTAAAATGGGGTCTAATTACGACCTCATTACTTTTTCTTTTCTTTTTACAGTGATGGCAAAGTATATAACGTTAATTATTAATATGCTGTATAGGTCAGGCGACCTCCGCAATACGTGATAAATGTACGTGTACACACGCCTGGCTATTTATAAACCCAAATACCACAATGACAATGAAACTAAAACATTATGTTTGACAAAAGAAAAAAGGAAAGCATACGTCATACTCGTGACGACGGTTTCTAATTGCTTGTCCGCTGACAGAAAAGTATGTCAAAGATGACAGTGTATGATTTGAGTGAAAATGGAAAGGAGGAAATAACATTAGATTTGCGATACGATAATATAACCGGGATAGTAATACTACAACGTTCTTATATATTTATGTGCGTGACATATATACACATATACATATATGTATACAGCGTTTCGTCATATTAATAACGAATAACGCCTTGGAATTGCACGGCGACACGCGAAATATATCTATTATATTTTTATAACTTTTTTTAAAGTTATTTAATTTATATTCAATTTATCTCGTTTTGTTCTTCAAGAAGAAAGGGCCCGTGCGCACGCGCAGTGAACTGTCGCTTGGCCCAATTCCACTTTTTTTATTGCACATTGCTTTTCAAAGTCAATGATTCGCACGAGCGGATGAACATAGATGCTGCGGAAATATACGGGATTATTATTTTTGTTAGTACTTTACTCTTTTTCTCGATGATTCTGTGAACAGGTATATATTTCACTAATACCGATTTACAATTCATTACCCGATTTACATGGCGGTAACGATTATAAAATACTGTTCAGTTATACGTGTCTTAGTCACGCAGGACTTTGGCAGTTTTTTTTTTTTAAATGGATTTCGGTAGTATCAGAAAAACTTAAAGAATGAAAGGAGAAAAACTTTAACGAGTTTTGCATAATTTTAATGGGATAATTGTCTAGTCTAATTATCACGGTCGTCTATGTTAATCCGTTCGCACGGATCAGAAATTAATATTGTATTTTGTCGTATAATTTGTTGATACAGTAGCGTGCGTATTTTTTTTGTTGATTTGTACAAGCGAAGACAAACTAAGAAAGAGAAGATACCGTGCTAGATTCTCAGACATTGTCACAATAATGTAGAATTTTTTGCTATATTTTAGTTTCTTGTTTTCTGTTTGACGGTTATCATATACTGTACACTTGAACAATGTAATCGTAATTATCAGTTGCGAGCAACAAGAAGAAGAAATAGAGAAGGGAATGTTTTTTGTAGACATTAGTGCGGGTTCGAACGTTGTTCGTCTAGTCGGTAAATTTGCGGTTCGGGTTGCGACCGAACAGAGCCGAACGGATCTCTGGCACCAGCTGCTGTGCAATCAATTCTAACCTTGACTCCAGGGTGTTGCAGATCTTAATACGTCCTGCATAAAAATCATCGTGAGAATGTTTCATTGGATTTTAATGTAAAATTCTACTGGCAGTGAGTACATTGGTATTATTATTTGCTGCATTATTATATTTGGATTGTAAATAAGGAAACTCACCCCTGGCTGCAAGCAGTTCAACACCACCACAGCTATCAGCAGGCAAGAAATTGTCCTGGTCAATTTTCACAGAGACCTCCTTGCCAGAGATTTCCTTATAGGTTTGCTGAACTGAAGTTATAACTGAATCGGCAATACCCAGATCAACTTGACGAACGCGAATCAGTACGTTGGCTTCCATCAGCTAAAGCATTTAAGTTTTATTAGCGTCACTATTGGTTTTGTTTTTATAATTGACGTGATATTGTTAATGGGAATTACCTGGTAGAGTGCTTGTATAATTAGGGATTTTAGAACCTGAGCATAACGGGATGGGTCACGGGTTACTTCACCCAGTCTCTTTCTAGCTTCATCTAGCACATTGCGGACATGGTCTTCACGAACCTTCAGCACTTTCAAACGTGCCTGGTTGAGCATGTTTGAAGATTGACTACAAAAGTGGAATTAATATATGCTCAAAAAACTCATGGATAGCATTTTTTTCTGATTACTTATGTAGGAAGCTTTTTGCAATGACATTACCACTAGAAATTTAGATAAGACACTACTGGGCCTGTGTAAACCAGATCTTCAACCAGTTACATAATATCCTTAATAATTTAAATTTGAAAAAATATCAATTATTTCACATACATTGCAAACGCGTTAAAATTTCTAATGAATGTTTGCATACATTCTAGTAAGATGATTAAACTTTTCTGTGAATATTTTCATAATTTGTAAAGAGGTGGGTGTGGCACACCAATGACATGTGACACTACTGCTTCCACCAAATGTCATAGATAGCAGCAGTGTATTTAAATAGTAAAGATGCTATTTCTTGAATCACTATAAAACTTTTAATATAATAGTATAAAAGTAGGGTGTGGCTACTAAAAAAACATGTGACTTATCCAATCTAAAAGACTCTAAGAGCATCAAGTCTATATGGCATAAAGTTATCAAAGGAAAAAAATATTTTCATACATTTTCTTCTGCAGCTCAACCTGCTTCTCTTTCTTTTCATAATATTCCATGATTTTAAGACGTTGTTGCTGAACCAAACGTCCCTTTTCGATGTTAAATTCTTCCTCTGCTTTCGCATCAATTTCCTCCGCCTTTTCATTGGCTTCTTGCTCAATGAAGGCCATCATATGCTTGATCTGTAAAGCAATAACACAAAATGGTCCTGCAAATCAGCACAAACAATCGATCTAAGAGTAATTTAATGAAATAAATTGTTGTATAAACATAATTACAGATAGAATAAAAAACTAAGACCAAATGAATTGCAGTTTTTTAAATGTATACAAAATAACTATATCTAATTGAATAATTGATCTGTAAAATGATATATAATTAAGGAGCTTCAAGTCCTGTATAAGACAGTATTATCTAAGGCTAAGAATAATGTTAGCAACTGTAGTTTTGTATATAATTTTTGGAGAGCACATCTTGCCAAGAAGTCATAAAATAAATGACAATGCTATAGATATTTAAGAAACCTAACTAGGCCAAATCTCTGTTGAAGGCATATGTACTATGCAAGAGTGTCGGCTGCTAGAAGGGAAATGCAATATCAAAAACCGTGTCTAAAGACATGCCAAGAAATTGGCAAAGCTTAACGGCATGAACGAAGGACACCCTGAGAAAGCTGTTGAGAAGTTTCGCAGTGTCTCGTAAAAAGAAGGCGGTGCTCTCCGAGTACCAAGAATAGAAATAGTCTGGAGATTCTGGTGCTCTCAAAAACGTCATTTTCTTTTTTCATAACGCACCTGCTTCTGCACGTCTGCATCGCTGAGAGCCATGGTGATGTTGTACTTTCCCTACGGCAGATGACCACGAAAACTCCTCGCTGGATATACGCGAAACCGTTAAAACTGGAGTACAAACTCGACGAAAGAAGTCAACGCCTATGAAGCACCAGCGTTCACCAGACTGACCGAGCGACGATCATATGATTGCTGCGTGCGCAACATACCCAAGTCAAATGTGTATTTTGCAGATACAAAAGCATTGCGAGATCTTGCATAGAGAAATGCAGTTGCGGGAACAATTTTCTGTTGGAATTATCGCGATGATTACAAGGATGCTTTGGGAAATATCGTTTACTAAGACTTATCTTATAATTTCCGAAGAATCCATAGTTTTTAGGGCTCGTATGATTTTGTAATCACTCGTTCAGTTGTTGATTTGATCTAAGTTAAAGGCACCGAAGAAATCTTCTTTATCCAATGATAGTAACGAAATTTCTGACCGTGCTGCGTACACATATACGGCCGTCTAATCGAATGCACAATAGCGAATTTTTGTTTATGAATATCACGAGGAGCTTTCGCACGTCACGGTCTGAGTTTGTTAATTAAATAAGACCTTGGGATGATTATTTCAATTGTTATTCGCAGGGTGTTATTTTAGGGCTCGCGCCATATTTCGGTTGCTGATTTGGGAACGTTCATAAAATTGCTAATATGGCAGAAATCTGTGTCTCTAGTGTTGTTTAAGTTTAAGAAAACTACAATATTAGCAGAATTACGTTGATGAACTGTAATGAAATGTGCGTAATATCGTGATCTCAGTGGACCAGCGCACGCGAGCATCGGACTCCCATGCGGAAAGCTGTGACCGCCTAAATTATTTCGGCGTAACACCTTCATTCCAAGTCAACAACATCAACTTTTTAGTGTTTTTTTTTCTGACGTTCATCTACTTTGTTTATCATGTATTCAATTGAATGCACGTTGCAGTGATTGCAGCAGGAACGACTGCGATAGGTAATGATATTCGGATGTCCACCGAGACTCCCTTAGTTCCAAAATGCTTGCACTATAACCTTTGTTTCCTTACGCTTGTCACTCCACTGTATGGCCCGTGTAACGTCAGTACCGTCATATGCATCATTATCCTATCTTACGTCGTGATCATTTTTCCCGGACACGACGGCATTTCACTTTACATATCCGTCCCAATACTTTTCTTCTATACCCAGTTCAACTTTGTATTCCATCACTCCTTTTATCGATGTATACTTAAGGCTGAGAAAGCTTGGCCCATGCCATGCGATAGGATATGCAGTGATATTCATAGTGTAATATCACAAATATATTGCCTTGTTTTTATATGTTGAGTAATAACATCAGATTGAAGCATTTGCAGTATCTTCTGACGAGAAAACTATTTGTGTACATTTTTTTGGTTTTTTGCTTGAAATGGGGTGTTCTGTCAAGTCGATGGGTGCTGGTTTCTATTAGATTGCCTTTTGTACTTGGTTGAATGAAAAGAATTAATGGGTGTAGATAACTTTTGTGCAGGGCAAAATACAGAAGCGTTCCTTGATGGATCAGGTCCAAACATTTTTGTTAGGTAAGCGACAGGCTATTCAGTCTAGAATTTTTGGCTCCTGCAAGTGACACTTGATTTGAAAGTATAGTAAATATATGCTCAGTATATTTCTTTGGATGTTTAAAGCTTCCTTTATATTTTTCAGACGACTGAATTCATCTGTAAAAATATTGCTGCATCTTGTTCCTCTTACATCTAAACGTTATACATGGAATCCATGATTCTACAACATAGTGAGAACCAAGTTGGCTCTAGTCTTATTTGAGGAACAAAGGCAATCGACTGTTACGTTCTTGCTAAGAAGGCGTCTGCAACTATTCGCACCACAATCCAGTAAACAAGGAACGTTTCTTTTAAACCTTCTAAAGGTCGCACAATCTACTGCCACAAAATCGATAAATCCAAGAATAGTGTGCCCATCCTGTTACAAAGCAGTACCCACTGCATTAATACTCATGGTGACCTGGACAGTGCTGGAAGACAATAAATCATAATAATCATATTGAGAATAGGTCGGAGCCCAAAAAGAAAGCCATTAAACGTTCATACAGATAATAAAATAAACTTAAAACAAAGAACTAACGGACAAATTCATCAAAGGCTGCCACTAGATGTATCCATCAGGACGGCCCTTATCAACGTTCGTATCGTGGTTCCAGGTTGTAACATTATACCCCTGGCTGGGACTCTGCACGAGCCCCCTAGAGTACGGCGCACGAGTGTGAACTGGCCTGGTTACGTCACCCGGAGTGCTTTTTTTTTCTGTGGAAATAAACGTAAAGCGAAGTGTTTCTTGGTGTGCTCCAGCAGGTACTTTATAGTGGAGCCACCGGGCTATGGCCAACTTGAACTTTGAGCAGCCGCCACGCAGTATCGCGAACGCAAGCTTAACTTCGCGTGGGGCTGGTGGGGGGGGCTTAAGCTCGTCGACCCTTACGGGTCATGTCACGCCCACCTCGGGCATGTTCTCAGGATCCTCTGCAAGCACATCGAGCACATCAAACTCTACGGTTGTCGGTGCCAACGTCTATCCCGGTGCCACGGCTTCCGGAGCTGCGCAATCCGCTGCGCACCAGCCTCAACAGCAACAGCTTTCACCTATGGGCAGCAGAGGACTCTTCGGGCAGAGGGCTTTCACTGACAGACGTACAATGCCTGCTCTTGGGTCAGTTCACGCTATGTACTGTAGCAATCCTATGGTATCTACACACCTTAGAATACGTTTTAGCCATGCAGCCATCATTATACGCTAGTCAGCTTTTAAATGTATCTTTTATAAATGATCTTTCATATCATTTAATTCTTGAATGATTTTTATTATTGCTGTATTGGCTTTCATCAGATTTACTCGACTTTACGAGTACACGCTTAAAATTTTCTATTCGCTCATCATAAATCTCTGTCAGCTTGTCCTATGAACTTATAGTACTAGTTTTTCTTATTGGAAAGTTTTTGGAAAGTATACACGTAGAATAATCACATTGTGCATAGACGTGTTTACTTCTGCGCTTAATGTTGTGCCATCTGCGCTTGCAACACTTATAATGATAGTGCTAAATTGGTAACAGATCATTTCGATAATTGGCAACGATTAATAGTCCATGAAAAAATTAGCATCATTACACGCTCAATTTTTCATTGAGCACGTGTTTCTTTTTTCACCATGAGAATCAACTCCGTTCTCCCCTGACTTTTCCCGCGCAAACACTCAATCCGGTTCTTCCACATTTTGCATCCATAAATTACATCAAGATGTTTCACTCATTAACGTATACACCAGTCGGACGCCATTACTTTTATCCATAATAATAAAACCAAATTCCAAGGACCATGCATGACCCGTAATAACATATTTGTATACAGCCTTACCCTAAATATTTATCATAACATTGAATCCCTATAATTTTCTTAGTTCCTCCTATTCTAACCAGCGAGCAATACCCAGGTTAGGTTTAAAATTAGAAAAAAAAAAAGGTAGCACCAACGTGACAAAAACTTGACACTAGCTAATTCTCTTTATGGAAAATTTGAAAGACAGGTAGGTAAGCCAGCTTTAGACGTCTCGCGAAAAATGGCATAAATTACAGAAACAATTGTTTCTCAAATGATTTTCTATATTGTAACGTCACTGTACGCAATGGCTAAGTGGAGACCTTAATGCACGTCTCGATATATTTTTAACACTTTACCAATTCTTACAGGAATTCAAATCCAATGGGTAGTATGGGCAGTTTTGGAATACCTCCAAGTCGTAGCTACGGATCTCAAGGTGCGATCAACAATTTCCACTCTGTGTTTGGGAGCGGAGGTGGCGGGGACACCAGTACTCCTCCTCTCCTGGACCTCTCGGAGTTTCCCTCGCTGACGAATCGTGGCCAGGGTGACTCTATGCCTCAGCCTAGTCCTATGACGGGGAAACAACCTTACGGTTAGTCACAAGTGACTAAGACCGGGATACATTGACATTTCTTTTATTTTTTTTTTATTTACATATATTTTCTATTGTTTTCTTCTTTCATCTATATCTTTCTTCTTCGTACTCTTACTCTCTCGTTCTCTCTTTGTCGTAAGCCACTTTTTTATTTATTTATTTGTCTCTCCTTTGCCCGACTCTTTGCATACTCACCGGAGTATCCTGGATAATGACTGTCTCGTGGGTCTGTAATCGATTGAAGAAAATTTTGTGATTATTGCCAATTGTCATTTGACAGTGTATGTGTTGTTTGATATAATATATTCAGGAATATTGTCAATTTGTACATCCAAAGGGTCGGTAACTGTGAGAGTCGTGAATGATTTACTTGAATTTTTGCAAATTGTGAATGAATGATTCTTTGAATATGTATATATACTTTTTTAAATTTGTGACATTTTAACGTAACGTAACCGAATTGTTATTTGTGTCTTGTGAAAGAATGCACTTATATTGGGATGCGTTAGCTTATTGTTATTGTTGTTACCATTACTCTGTTACGTGCACGTATCGTTGCACGTGAATGTATTCGCGATTCCTTTCTCGTTTCTTATAATTATCTTTTAATTTCCTCGAGGAAACAATTCCTCGACAAATAACGAATCAGCTCTACATCCCTTGTACACTATACCTTCCTTTTGGATAAAACTACTACCATATGATACATCGTGTCGTCCTATCAATCATCATCCTTGTCATAGTCATTTTTTCATCAATATACCTACCAACCATTGATAATCATAATCATGACAGGCATCGAGTCGGTGCCGGTCAAATTGTTCCTCAGGTGAAAATCAAGAAACTTGTACCTATATAATTGCATGCTTTAAATCATTCAACAGATTCTCTGCTCCATTCTTCATTTTGTTGACACGTCTGTGCATCCTTATCCATCTTGATTGTTAATACACATTTCCCTATGTTCCCTGCTTAAACAGCACGTTCCTCTGAAAAGAAAGACACAGAAATGGATTGTTAAAGCACTTCAACTGGAGAAAAAATAATGTGCAACAGCAAGCATGAATACCTTGCTATTTTCTCATTGTCACGGTAACAATAGAATAATAAAAAAAATTATTTTTTTTGAACTACTGTTACAGTGGGTATGGTAAAGCAACCGACGTCCGAGGCGAGTGAATTTACTATGAGTTCAGAGGACTTCCCTGCGTTGCCAGGTACGCAAAGCAGGGAAGGACCATCTCCTGGGGGTAGTGTCTCTGGTGATAAAGGTTTACCTGTGGGACTTGGTCCTGAGATTGGTCAGGACGTACTCCAGGCGAATAGAGCACCGGGTTCGGAAAAGTCTCAGGCATCTAAAAGAGGCATCCAAACATCACCTGACGGTAAGGATATTGTAGTTGGGTAGAAGAAACGAAAGTAATTGCTGTAAGATAGCACTGATCGTCATGCGCATTAGGATGGTTTAGTTTATGTAATATTTTTTTTTTGTTTTTCAGGTAAAGTGACGCATATACCGGCTAGTATGGTAAAGGATCAATTTGGTATGGTTGGTTTATTGACCTTTATAAGAGCGGCGGAAACGGATCCGAACCTTGTATCTCTAGCACTTGGACAGGATTTAACAGCATTAGGACTAAATCTTAATTCACCTGAGAATCTTTATCAGAATTTTGGCGGTCCCTGGGCGGAAACGCCTTGTCGACCTCAAGATATCGACTTTCACGTACCACCTGAATATCTAATCAATGCCTCCATCAGGTATCACAGAACGTCATACTTTCGGTGTCAATAATTTTCCAGTTGTTTTAAATGATTTTTTTCGATCATCGCCATTTGTGTCTTTCAGGGATAAATTGGCACCCGTTAAGCTAAACCGGTATAAGGACGATCTCCTATTTTATATGTTTTATACGAATGTCGGAGATGTATTACAACTGGCAGCTGCTGCGGAACTGTAATTATTTTGTTCGCAATGTTTTACTTTCTTATTGATTTTGCGTTTTTCTCACTTTTTTTCTCATTGCCTTTTGTTCTGCCATTAGATACAGCCGAGAGTGGCGGTATCACATGGAAGAGAAGGTATGGATCACGCAGGCGCCGGGTCTTGGACTTGTTGAAAAGACTTCGACGTACGAACGCGGTACTTATTACTACTTCGATGCGCAGAACTGGAGGAAGGTCGCCAAGGAGTTCCATTTGGATTACACGAAGCTGGAGAGTAGACCGCACCTTCCTACGACCTTTCACCAATCCCAGCCTTGACTACAGGTTTGTATTTTTTTTTATTAAGGAATTAAATCATTATTCAGAAATAGCTTATTAATTATATTCGTAGAGTTTTTGCGCATGTGTGTTTGACAAAAGTGTCAACTGGAAATTTTGTCGTTGACATGTTTCAGATCTGCCTGCAGACTCTTGTGCTGTCTTTAAGCTGGAGGAAATTCAGCTGTTGTATAAATGAACAAATTTAATAATCTTTAATAAAAACATAAAATTCGAAGAGTAATAAAAAAAATGACAAATGGTCCTTGATATTTACATCTGACATTTAATCCATCCTTATTTTTGTATTGCTCGATATGCACATATGACTCTGTAGAGTATAAAGACAATAATGTCGCTCGACATTATTTGTTCTTTAATTCTTCAGCTTGTTCTGCGAGACTTATCACGCTTTCCGATGCTCTTATCAGCTTTTTCTCGATGTAATCTCTACTGTTTGTTTCAGTTTCATTTACGAAGTATCTGTAATTTACCATAATTCCACAGCTATTAGCGGATCCACGTGGTGACGGATCGGCCAGCCAATTAATTCTCCACATTACGGCTCCATTGCGTAAATGAAAATTTGCTAATGAAATATAGAGAAAATTTAAACTTTGAAATCTTTAATAAGTATTTCACGAACTGCTCTTACAAACTTACCCACACTATTCAGTGCATAATTTCTTCTTTTCTCAGTATACAGATACCGAGCGCAAGCACGTACCAATGGCTTCTCCAAAATTGTAATCAATTTGTGATCATTCATCCACAAGGAGTTATCAAAAGTTTTCTTTAAGCTTTTGAACAAATCCTTTGACTCCAAACTCTTTTGAATGACATCGTATTCCTCATCATTGAATATCTCATGGGCATCTACAATGAGATCCAACATCATGCTTACTAGAAAACACAATTTCACAGAGAACTTACTTTGCTTTATTCTGTCAAGAAGCCACAACCGGAAATTGGGTATTGGTGACAGGCTCGACAGCTGATCAATCATTGGAAACTCATTAATAACTGTCTTAACAACTTCCTTTATCAAATAATTACCCAGCTCTATACCCTGGAATTAATAGTTGTAGTTAAGACAGTATAGTCTTTTTGAATGAAGATTCATTGTTTGATATTCTTTTCAAGTATCACCTGTAATCCTTTTTGCGTAGAAGCTATGGAATAAAAAATAGCAGCCTTAATTTTATTTTTATCCTCTTGCAAAAAAGAAGTAGCTTCCATTCTCATGCCTAGTATTCGTTGTTCTGCTTCCTGAATTCCCTTAACTGTTGCTAAAATGAATATATTAAATTCTCTATTACAAGATCAATGCAGAGAACTACTATAAGGAAGACAGCATTACTTGGTATTTCATCACAAAGAGCAGTATGCAAAACAACTAATGGTTCCCTGGGCATAGACGGATGTGTGAAGACATAGCATCTTCTATATGGACCAACACGTCGCTTCAGATCAATCCAATTTCTAATGGGATGAATAGCCTCGTAATCGGAGACCTAAATAATAGTCTAGGATGATTTCTTATTGCATAATGTAGAAAGAATTACTAAATTTTACTATTTTGTACCTTTTGCAGAATATCACAAGAACTCTGCCAAGTAATACGTTCCAAGTGTAAAAAACTAACTGAGAACCAGAGCAACAATAGTTCCTGCAAGGTCAGATTCAGCTGTTGTATTATCATAATTTGATCAGCTTCCTTAGTTTCAGATATTAATTCCTGCAAGACTGTTGATCAAGTATTGATTGATTGGTAAAGTTGTTCGCTTATAATTATTAATACCAAAACATCTGTTCGCAAATCGACCAGGAACTTGACGCCATACTCTAGACGACCCATTAATACAAAAAGCCATTGATATACAGGAGTAAGAGCATTCTTCAATAATCGCTTGTTGATTATCATCTGTTTTTGATTATCTGGCTGAAATTAATTAAATCATGGATAATTTGTATTGTCGTTATTAAGTAAATTGTTTATTAATTTATGCATACCTCACTGCAGACTAACTTATTTGCCAATTGGCATATGTCATTATGATTGACAGCATACCGATATGCCAACAATCGTATAAAACTTTGTTTTTCATACTTTGATTGGGTACTATACCAACAACAAAGTGACTGGATTTTTGCCTTAAATTTCAATAGCAATAATATTTAATTATCAATTATTGTTAACAATTTTCTTGTCTTTTTTTAGGTTTGTTACCTCTATTACCCAATTGCTGATGTTAGTATCTTTAAGAGCAAAGATTTCTTCTAACTGTTTATCCATGCAGCTGTCTGTATACAACGTTCTGATTCTATTAGCTGCAATTGTTACAATGGAACTAGAGGAAACCTTGTCATGCAATTTCAAAACGCAGTCATTGTATCCAAACGTAGAATACAAGGATATTTTAGCTGAGAATTGTAAAGCAATTAGTTTTGAATTCCATCTGAGTATTAACTGCCTACTATGCAATATTCTATGTCTGACCATGAACATGTTACCCCTAACAACGCAATGCGTAAACAAACCAGTTGTCCCAAATACGCTACAGCAAGACGTAAAATTGTATAACTCTACAGTACAACATTAACAATATAGCAGCACAATATTCTTCGTCGTATTTATTCACGGACAATAGTATTATAGCACTAAATTATTAATTTGTTCGTTTGCATGTGTCAGTGCCGTATACACATTTCTTCTGACGTCTTTTAGGTTAACGTTACAATCCACATTATATCAACCATATTCAAGATGGTCATGATAATCGCTTAATCAGTTAAGAAATAGTAATTAATCATTATGAAAAAGGTTTTGAATTATCTGAAGGGTAGGAAGCGCTCGGGGGGTGGCGGTGAAGAATCGGGACTTAGTCAAAATAAGTTTAATTTAACTTATGATGCTCCACTGTCTGTTTATGGGAGTTCTGAAAGCATGATTTCTAGTAATGATACTATATCTATATATGATCCTGGATCTGTTAATAAGGGGTGGAATAAGTTGCATATAGCCGCTTGGGTTGGGGATGTACAGAAGATGCGTACCAAATTGAGAAAGGTACTTAGATCTTCTTTTAATATCGTTAGTATTATTCGATCTGAGGTAAAATATTTTTTTCAGATTGCAGTGGATACCACTGATGACCTTGGAAGAACACCCCTTCATCTTGCAACTTCTCAAGGACATGCCAGTGCAGTAGCTTTTTTAATTGCTTGCAAAGCTAATACGGCCGTGCAAGACATTCAAGGGAGAACAGCTTTGCATAAGGTATAACATAGAAAATTAATTTATTGTATCACATATAAATGCGTTAAACACTTGAACTTTGTTGCTGAAGAAAATTACTGTTACAATCAGTAGCGATTCTTTTATTTATTGACCGCATAGAATTTGTGATAGTGCATAACCAAATTTATTGCATTTTTATTATAACGCGTGAGATTTGCGCTTTCGTGTGGGATAGATTAGCGGTGTTGTTATTTTTCTAGATTATTTATTTTTTGAGAAATATTTTTTGTGAAAGGCTATGGAGTTCGGGCACGTGGACTGCGCACAATTGTTGTTGGATCGTGGCGATGCGGATTTGGTTAACATTGCTGATAGTTTCGGCGATGCGCCGTTGCACGTTGCTGCGAGAAACGGAAGTTACGACATGAGCTTAATGCTACTGCAAAAGGGCGCCAATTTGGAACTTGCAAATACTGTAAGGGAGATATTTGTATTTATGACTTATTGATTTGTTATAGATTTAAGTTTTTTTTTAGGATGGTCAGTTTCCATTGCATGCAGCCTGCGCATCTAATACTAAGGACACTCACGAACTGATTGAATTATTCTTACGTTATGGGGCTCTTATCAATGTCAAAGATAAGAATGACGTTTCCCCATTGATGATTGCTTCTGGGCAGGGTATCATTAACATCGTGCGATTATTTCTTGAATACGGTGCTAATAAAATGGTCAAGGATAAGAATGGTAATTATTATACGTTTCGTAATGCTAGTGCAGGCGACTGATAACTATTATCATTAATTGTAGGAAAAACTGCCTATTCATATGCAGCCGAAAATCATTTTGACGATATTCAGGAAATTCTAGGAGGATCGGGCAATAACGATGACCTCGATGATCCTAAATTACATTCAAGTAGTGGTTTAAAAATTTCTCAAGAATCGATTAACGTTATCACTCCACCAGTTTTTGATATTAACGATTCTGATGAAAATAATGATGATAGGATCAATCAACAGGTTAATAATCAACATTATTGATTTATTTACTGATTTATTTGATTGATGTTCTTTTTTGAAATTTTTAGGTTAAACATAAAAATGAAACGTCCTATATAAGTGACGAAGAAGTCGCTGGTGCTGCAGCAACAATTACTGAATCTAATAGGCCAGATTTCTTATCACCATTGTTAGTACAAGTTAGAAGGAATTCCAGTAAAAGTATCTGTACTGGTGGTGGTGGTGGTGATGGCGCATGCTCTATCGAAGGGAGCGGCAGTACCAATAATACAAAAGAAAAATATGAAACTGATAAACAAGTGAAAATGGACAATGAAAGTAGTGAGAGCGATTGGGCCGATGATTTTAGTCTATCGATTAAGGAAGAGCCGTGTAAATTATCATTAAAGAAAAGTCCCTTTTATGTTGGTGATACTAGTATGAAATCACGAGGATCTAATGAAAAGACAAGCACAGTTGAGGCACTATTGAGTAGTCTAAAAATTAATGAACCACGTAAGGAGGAGCAAAAAGTCGCAGCAGAGTATAATAATGAAAATTCTAATAATGAAACATCCAAAGGTATTTTGTATTTTGAGAATTCATCGAATCCTGTGAAAACTATTGAAGACAATGAATGTAAGTTGGAGGATATGGCGATTCAATTTGATTTTATTGACGAGAACGAGGACACGTATTCGTGCGATGTACTTAAAAAAATTGAACATTCGAAAACTGTTTTTGAAATTGTTAATGATAACGAGAACCAACCCAAGTGTTTGGATGATCCTGATAACTCGGCACAGTCTAGTGCGCTCACTAATGTTACAAACAATTCAGACTTATCTAGTTGTTCCGGCGAAGAATTGAACATTTCGGAATGCAAAAACATGTCTGACCATTCTGAAGCAGGAAATGAAAATTCGAGGAATATAAAAATTTCTAATTTATCATCTCCATCTCATTGTGACAATACGAATAATGAGAGTTGGTCTTCCGGCAAAGAGGATTCAGAAATACAGTTCGTAAATCCGATTGAGAAAATTGAAAAATTGTTCTCTATTTCTAGGACTCAAGGTTATCAAAGTTCTTCTGAGGCTCTTGATGACGGTGGAAATTCATCAAAAGTCAAAGAATTCTCTCGCGTGCTCGACATACGAGATCTGAATGTATCTTGTAAAAATGATGCTAAGGATACTGCAAGTTTTGCTTCACCTGTAAGTATGCCCTGGCTGACAAATGAAAATCATCAATGTGATAATGACAATGATTATGATAACAATTACGAGATTACAAATAAATCAAAAAGCTCTTCTCTTGATGGACATGCAAAGGGGATTAAATTATTGTGTGAAGTGGAAGAAGCCAGTGCTGCTATGAGTGTTGATGAAATATGGGTGTCCAATGACTTTGTATTTGATAAAAGTCAGTCATCGTTAAATGACAATGATAATGACATTGAGAACAAAGCTGATTTTCTCAATTCGATGGCCATTGATTCTGAACCTGATATTGAAACAAAATCTGTTGACACCAATGATGAACATAGTGCATCATTAATGAAGTCGACAAATGATACTTCTTCTAGTCATTCAAGTGATTGTTTAGTCTCTAACAAGTCCAAAGCATCCCAGAAGGAAAAATGTAAGAAGAATGGAAATATCGTTAACGGTGGTTCAACTCCTTGTCGAATTCCTGATGAGGTCACTGACAAGATTCCAACATTTTTCACTGATTATGGTAACGGACAACCTTCGGATTCATACAGTTCATTTTCGAGGCACAGCGAGGAGGCTGTTTATAATTTTGAACGGAAAAAAAATCGCAACGTTGATCGTTCATGTTTGTCGGATCCTGGACAGCTGATTGATACTTTATCAAGGTTTTTTGTTGGTAGCGATAAGAATACATCAAGCTCAAAAACCGAATCATCAAAGAATTCTGAAAAACCTTGGTCTCGTGCCAGTTCAGCAATTCTTCAGGAACCTGAATATGATTTTATTCGTATGTCAAGCAATGATATTATGAATCATCGTCATAATTATTCGCCTCACTTGGAAACTGATAAAGACTTTATGGAGGTAAAGAAGCTTTTGACCCTTTGTGAGATTAAAGGCGCTAAGGATTCCTGGGTATCTGAAGATAATGAAGATGAAGATAATGAAGACCAGACGAATAAAGATGATCTTGAGGAAATTGAGGAAATTGAGAACAAAGCATGTCTCTCATCGGAAATTTTGCAAAAATTCGACCAAGATGAGGAAGAGTTGGAGATGGAAGATGAACAGACTACGATAGGCGATACAGTTCTAGATGAACATACCTGTTATCTTCAAGATAATTCAGGAGTAGTAGATAACTGTAAGGAACAAGATGATAGCTCGTGTAATTTTATCGACTCTGAGTCTAATGATCAGCTCATTAATTCTTATGAGGAGACAAAACCTCCAGTTACCCAAGAAGACAATAAATCATCTTCCTTATCTAGTAAATGCGATTCTCGCAATCTTCTGGAACATATCTTAGCAACGCAATCGTCATTCGAAAAAGATTCCACGTTCGATCCACCCTTCGGTAAGATAATATCGAATTATCAAAATCATCAGTATTTCTCGTCGATTGATATGATCAGAAATGAATATGACAAGATAAATAATTTCAAAGATGAAAATAAAGCACCAAGAAGCCTTTTAGAAATGTTGAAAATAAATGATTCAGCTGATATTAAGAATAAGAAAATATCAGTGGTCAATAATTTTGAGTCACCAAAAAAACGTATTTCCGATAAAGTCAAGTTAGAACAATTAAAAAACATGAAAACAATTACGAACGAAGAATCATTACCAGATAACAGTGTAAAATCAATCAATGACAAGACATCAATCGATCAGAATAATTTGAGGTCAGGCCGTTCTATATTTATCAAAAAAGCATCACGTACAAAAAGACGCAGAAATCCTTTCGATCCATCGATGCTACGTGCAAAATGTAATAAAAAAATTAATAAAAAATCCATATTTTCTGCATCATCCAATATGAAGCCCAGTTTAAATTTTACGAATGACGTCAATTCTGCCATTGCGTGGCCCGAGGATACTCGACAAGAAATTTTACATGAACAAAGAACTACGAACACCGAAATCGAAGAATCAAAAGAAACGAAATCTGTGGCTTCACGTGAAAGTTTTTCTGAAAGATATCTAAAGGCCTCTAATACGAATCCGCATCTTACACGAAACGAACCGGAAAAGTTCAATATTGCAAGCAGTGGTAGCAGCCTCATCAGTTTGAAAAACACTCACAGCCTCATAGATCTACAGCCAATGGAAACGAACGGTGTAGATGGCATTGAAAGTAAAAGTGACATATGGAGTATGGAAGTCAGATCATCTGACAGAAGTATTCCAGAAAGGTTTGACGAGAGACTAAGACTCCTTGCTGAGTAAGTAATTAAGATAAAACAATTGACTTTTTTATTTCATCAATAATCATTACATTGATTGTTGTTCTTCTTTCAATTCTATCATCTGTGAATCTTTGTTTTCAATCGACCATGTTAACGATTCTTTCCTTTCATCGAGTACACCGCATTTTCCTACGACGACAGTCTTCAATGGTTTTCCACTTTTCGCACCGAGTTCCTCAATCTGAAATGCAAGAGATTCACTCAAAATGTCATGCTATTGCTTTTGTCGGAACAAGGATGAGGGTTTATGTAATTAGTATTACTTTAAAAAGATTTCTTAGACCCTTTATCACTTTTCCAAACACGACTCTCTTTCCGTTCATTGTCCGAAGTTTTCTAAAAGTTAGATTGAATTTCGAATTGTTTGTGTGCTCTCCATTACTCCACATAGACAGCACGCCGGTTCTTGCATGTCTCAGGTTGAAGTTTTCATCTTGAAAAGTCTCGCCATAAATAGAAGTACCTCCAGTACCATTATATTTCGTGACGTCACCTCCCTGACACCAGTATCCAGGTAGTATGTTAAAGAATGAAGTCCCTCTGGAATGAGAAATATCGATAATTCTCATTTCGTTTAATTCTTAAATTTCAAAACATACGTATATTTAGAAAAATATTCTTACTTATAGGAGAGCCCATTGTGACCCCGACAAAAGGCTTCGAAGTTTGCGCACGTACGAGGCACAAAATCTGAGTAAAGTTCAAAAACTATTCGTCCTAGTTTTTCTTTGGTATTTTGTAATTCTATGTCAAAAAAGCATCGTGGTCGTGAGTGATTTTTTGCAGAGCTCAATTTTTTATCCACGACTATCGAATCGGTTTCTTTGACAATTCTTGGATCTTTCCATATTAGGGGATATCTGACAGGCAAAATTCAAATTTCAAAATTTTTTACTCATGTTTACCCAAAGGTAGGCTGTGTGGGTATTCGATAATGTCCTTGTTGGATGACTAATTTTCAAAATTTTTTCCTACCTGCTAACTTTTTCTAATGTAGTCTCGATTCGCTTCCAGTCACGTAAAAATTCTTTTCTCGAATAGATTGTTTCCCTTTTAGCAATAGCTCTTCGAATTTTCCTGTTGGCCTTCATTAGCTTCATATTTTCTGATTCTTGGTTATCCATTATTAACTTGTAAAAAATATCAGGATTCCAGCAATCCACTTTGCCCTAAAGATTGATATTGTATAGTAGATGAACCTGTCACTTTAGTTAACAATTAAACTGCGCCATTGGATGATTTAATTGTTCTATAACTTTTGTTCTGAAGATGATATTGATGTTCTTTATCAGGTCAAGATTTTCCTTATCTATCATCCGCATCCTATCTGCATCCTCGCAAAGCCGCTGAGATTTTAAAAATATTTCCGGTATAAATTTTGGCGGTTTATTGTCAATTTTTGGTTTAGCGCACATAACGTTGATACGATGTTCCACGTATATATTGTGATCCCTGCGCTCTTCAGCATCGTCAACCTTTATAGTCAAAGTTTTTGAATGTTTGCGTTTAATTTTTTAAAGCTTTTTTTTCAATGTTTTTAATTTCAACCTGGCCTGGCAGATAGCGGGATGGTGGTTCCCGTCCTAGAATTTTCAAAATCTTTTTCTTCCTCATTTTTCTTGTATTCTTTAATACTGAACTCTACACTTTTAATTTCACAAAATTATTACATCGAATTGGTTATGTTGAAATTTGATACATTTTTTGGAAGCTGTCTAACATCATGGATAGGATGATGCTCCTTTTTTTTGGATTTTCTGAAAAATCCTAGTCCGATTGACCGTTACAAAATGTAAAAAAAATATGTAAACAAACATTTCGTATTCTACAATAGCAATGCAAAAATTTGTGTGTGATAATATATTCTTTTTTTGGGGTAAGTAACGCATAAATTTGATCCTGTAGTACGTTCTCAAAGAATTTCAGTGTACATTGAGGAAGCTGTCATTTTAAAAAATTACTATAATATTTTCAAAAATATATTTTTTTCGCAGTTTGGGTAATAGCGTAAATAATGAGCTAACCAATAAGGTCAAAAGCTTGCGAATGGGAAACGGATTAACAGTACAGTCTGAAAAATGCAATGACAGATTGAATGTGAAAGATAATACAGTAACTTCAGATCAGATAACAATGATTTCCGGTCGTCCGGAACCAGTAGCAGAAATTCAGGAAAATTTCACAAATAATCAATTAGACGTAGTAAGTACATACGGTTATAAATAAAAAAGAATCTATAAAAACAACGTCAATCAATAATTAATGCTGATTAATTTTTCCAGTTCCAATCAGACGTAGTGATGCTACTTCGAAGTGATTACCACATGGTGGAAGAGACCTTAAAGAAGCACAACGTCGTCCTAGAGAACCTAACATCCAGGTTAAAGGACGAAGGCGCCGTTTCGCGTTATTTTAAGGAAAAGGAACTCAATGCGAGTGAAGAGGAATTAAATGAAATCGAAAAGGATTGCCGCTTCAAGGCGCTACAAGTGGAAGTGACGATACTACGTGAGAAATTAGCAACGAGAAGACAAGAAGACAATACGAAGACCTTGGAGGCTGTTGTACGTCTTAACCAAGAAAAATTAGATCTTCAGGCGACTATCAATGGTCTTAATCAGACGTTAGTTGAACATCGAATAGATCTGACAGAGTTACGTAAAGAAAATAACAGATGGCGCAGTGAATGGAATGTCATGAAGAACGACCTTGAGGCTCATATGGCGGAGGTAAATTATTTAACCAGAAGATCCGTGCCTAATGATCCTGCCGTTGTTAGAAAGATTACGAAACTCGAGGAACAGAATAAACATCTTCTTAGTAATTATCATAATCTTGCCAAGGACATGGAGTTGCAGAAAGTTCAGCATCGTAAACATCTTGAAGCTATGTTCAGGCAATTAATGGTTTCTGATACAGCTAAAGACGCGGGAAATTTGAATACGGAACGTAGTACAGTATTAAGAGCTTCTATCGCTTCTAACGACAGTATACAGCGAAGCAAAAGCGATCCTTTGTTTGAAACTAGAACAACTCAGGATACAACGTTGAAAATTCCTATTGAACATCGTGCTACTACTTCTGTTCAAGTGTCGAGTGCTTTTGAAGAAGATGGTAGTGATAATAAAGGAGATAAGGGTACCATGCCAGAATTTTTTAATAATGATCGGTCTACTTCAGTTACAGACATTAGTAACAGTTTTAGTTCTTTTGAAATTCCTGCTGGAAAAAAAGATGACGGGCAAATGATTTGCGAAATGAAACAAAATATAAAAGGTAGACAGGGTTGTATAATAGCATTGAGAAAAAATTTGACACAGTTCAAAGAGCCTGTACGGTTTGGTGTGAGTTGTAAAAATTTGGGAATTTTGTGTAATGCGAGGCAATTTAGCACAAAACGATTTTCCACACGAGTACGACCTGTACGAGGAAATTTCAAGAAGATTAATAAGTCTTGGGCTAAAGCAGAAACGTACAGTTCTTTTAAATCTAAACAACAGCGCAGATTTGGTTCCAAAAGAGTTTCAATGATCTGCGTAGACTCAAAATATGATTCTAAAAAGTTGAATCTTGAGAAGTATGTCCAAGAACAAATTCCAAACTGTGAAGAGAGTGATGAGAACTCAAAAAAAGTTTCACTAATAAATATTGTTGACGCTGTCAATACTGAGATTCCAAATAATACAAAAGTATCATGCGAAATACCAGTAGCTACAACATCACAATGTGAAATTTTTGAAAAAATGGAGTCTGCCAAAGAATTACTTTCTACACTTAAATTGAAATTTAATAAAGACAAAGAAATTATAAATAAATCTAAACAAACTGTTTCATCAGCTGAAGTGAATTTAAACATATGTCCTGAAAACATTGAGGTGTCGAGCGAACAAAGGGACAAAAATTCCAAAAATGCTCTCACAACTGCTATAGAGGATATTGTACAAGATTTTTCTGTTCTTTTGGGTTCTGACGATAGATCATTAAAATCCAACGTGTCAGAAGACGATGGAAATTTTCATTCTTTGAAAATGAACAAAGCCAATTCTTGCACAGAGACAACGGTAAAAGTATCATTGGCTCCAGTTATGGGTAAATTTGATGAGTTAATAACACTCCTACCAAAGGATGACAAAGATTCTAATTCGACTATCAAAACAGAATCGGATATTAAGGCAAACCCCGAAGACAATGATAAGGAAGAAAAACGAATTGAGGGCAAAAGTCAACAAGATGAAATGAAATCTTTAAAAGAAAACGAATCATTCGAATCTTCAAGTATGATAAAGAACTGTTCTCAATCAGTAAAAAAATCAATGGTCGACGTAGCAACAGGAAATGACATTCCTTTTCAATTTTTAAATGCTGCTGTGGTCACAGATTCTAAAACCCTTCCCATCACAGTTTCAATATCAGTAGGAAACGTATATCAAGAACTGGCCGAAAGCAATTCAATGAAAGATGCGACCTCTACTCTAGAAAAAAAGGAAAAATTACTTCCAGAATTCTTCACTGTCGAAAATAAAACACCTACGACTACAAGTAATGTAATTCAAAAAATGATTGAAACATCCGATAAATCAGTAGGAACTCCAGAAGTGACAGAATCATCAATGAAGATGAATCAAAATGATAGAATGATAAACGTTGACCAAATCCCATCGTCTTTATTAACTTCCAAAGCTCAGAAAAAGCCACTGTGTCCACCCACAGAAATAATGAACAAGATACTTAAAAAAACCGAGATACCCTTGATGCTAAAAACCTCAAAAAACACACAACCCCTATACAAATCTACAGAACTTCCCAAAAAGTCAACAACGATAAAAGTACAACGCATTACAAAAAAAAGCTTAAGAATGACACGCAAAGGACAAACCCTTCCGCAGTTTCGTGATATTCCCAAATTACTCGAAAGAAATCTAGAAGATCAGCGTCTGTGTCCAAAATTAATTCGACTCCCAAAATACACAGACAAGAAAAAAAGTCGCACAGTAAGATTCAATCCACATATTAATTCCTCCAGCAGAGAATCTTTATACAACCTTGAAGAGATACATGGGTCGAAGAAGGAAGAATTCATTCAAGGCGCCAGACTGTTCACGACCTCCGCCAAGACGCAGAAGAGCATCGCAACGGAAATGACGGAAGAAGAGCAACAGGAAGTTTCAAAAGACATGAGCAAGGCTTATAAAATATCCTTAGATAAATGTAATATCTATGGAACCAATTATGCTGTGATGACGATGCGAAATGGCGAATCTGGTGTACCAGTTATCCTAATAGGTGGTGGTCCTGCTGATCGTGCAGGACCAGGCATTAAAACACCCACTATACCGTGTCCTCTTCATCAGGAGGAAAAAATAGCTGATGCGCAAAATGATTATAATTTAACTTCAAAGACACCCTATAGATACCAGGAATATTTTCAGTATGAAAATACGAATTCCTTTGGGAAGACTTTCCCGGATGCTTCTACTTCAGACGGAAGTGAGGTGTGTCCTTTTGGATATTTTAGAATTCACTGAAACTGTATAAATACTGAATTATGAATATATTAATGTTATACGAACAATATAATGACTGATATAAAAGCATGTATCAATGTATTGTTTTATTGTCTTGTAGTTTAACAAATGTTCACGTGTTCAACAGATTGATCGGTTGGTGGATCTATTGACTCTACAGCACGGTTCGTCTTGTCAGGATTTGTCAAAATTTTCTGAGAACGTTCGCAGGATACGGGACATATTGGAGAATCGTAATTGTCGCTCAAAGTATTCCAGGATCGGTCATCAGGATCAACCGATAAAATCAGAAATAAAACCTTTAACAGAATCCATTGAGCGAGTAACAGCAATATTTGATGATCTCGAGACACTGCAACGTACTGACGTACAGTTTCATGATGATTTCAAAAAATGTGATGGTCCCGATCTAATAATTGATAATGATGAGATGATTGAACCAATAAAAGCTGAGCTGAACACTTGTGAAAAGGATAAACAATTTCCTACAAAGAACAAAGTAGTAACAGGTAACTGTTGTTTGTATTGTACTGTTGTTTATACTGTGCTCAGATTTATAAGTAATTTTTGACAATTTCTTTGACAGGTGTTCGAGATCAATCATCAATCAGGCAATGCAGAAGGAATCTTCGTAGATCAATAATCATGGATTTTCCATATGAAAAAATTCAGATGAACAGAGATGAACATCTTAAGAGATTGGAAATTGCTATGGCCAAAGCGAGGACGTCAGGTTCACCAGGTACCAATCAGTGTTCACCGACTGAACAATCAAGATTGAAAAACGACAACATAGCTTCATTTCCAAACAGTAAGAGAACTGTTGAATTCAAACGATCCCGATCTTTGGACGCCCAGAAGCCTGCAGGAAATGGGTCCAGAGTGTTTAAGACAGTTTTGGATGCTGCAATGTTCAGCAAGGATTGTGCAACGTCTTCACGTTTATCTGGCAGCTGTTTCCAAGGAGCCAAGAATAGAGACTTTCTTCCAAGAAAGACATTATCCTTGAAACAAAATCCCATAGATTGTGCCTCAGAATATTTGACAAGAAAATTATTGAGCAGGCAATTATATAATACAACAGGACGAAGGAGAGTCTCAACCTCAGTGCCCAGGCTATCATAAGTTCTCCAAAAAGCAACGAGAGAAAAATCCCTAAAATTTTTCCAAAAGAAATATACAATCCTGCCTATATGCGGCTGTGTCTGCACTGATCATCAGCCTCAATTTCGAACCCTAGCTCCGTCTACAGCCTCCGTAACAGAGATTCTTTATCTCATGAAAATAATGATGATTTGTTATCAAAACAGGAAATGGCATCAATAAATAAATACATCTCTACAAAGGACATTAAGAGAAAGCACATTCATTCTTCGTTTAAGATTTTTCTTCCGGGGCGAACGGTGGGAAGAAAGAAAAAAGGGACAGTAGGTTGAAACGAGAGCCGAAAAGCCATCATTGGCAGAAACCGGTAGACGCCATTTCGTTCCGTCCGGCTCTTTAAGATTTCCAAGCTCGATGTCCCTTTATTTCGTTGGCATCCTTGGCGGGTGCCACGGGAATGATGAAAAATAGGGAGCAAGGTCTTGCTTTCTACTTCATCTTTCAGCCCCCGTAGCTCGCACAAGATTATTAATATGTTTGTCCTCGGGCGAGCGTCCCCTAATGACGTCATCAATTACCTTAATCACCACTAACCCAGGTGAAGGCTGATATACTCATCTCGGTGGTCCATTTATATTTAGAATGCAAATTTTCTCGGTTGTTCCTTTTTTTTTATCTTCTTGCCTCCTTGCTTTCCTTTGCTTTCGTTTTCGTTTTCTCTTTTCATGCAAACACAGCCAATCGACAAACCCCCAACCCTTACTTGTCTCTTCCCCTCTGACCCTCCTACGACCCCGTACGCACAGCTGCGTTTATGCTAATGATTTTAGCCCCATGAAGGAAATACGTAATTTTGGGATTAATGGAAAAAAAAAAATTGAGGTGTCACTTTTACATTTTTTTTTAAATTTTGTAACTTACCACTAGTGTGACGAAGACACTGTAATAGACTATTACGTGCGTAAGAGGGAGATAAACGAAGGAACGATCACATCAGAAATTTCATATTGTATAACCAAAAGTCAGAGAAGCCAGCTTGCTTTAGATTTTACGAATTTTCTGTACCATCCGTAAGTGCGAAAGAGACATACCTATAGAGATCTGTGTGAGTCAGAGAGACACACGTATACTAAAACCTCGAAACCCGTTGCTTTCCCTTATACCGAATAAACATGGCAATTATTTGAAAAGGTATACGAACTGGGTTGACTTTCTTTTTTCTTCAAGAAACAATCCTCTTTGATACTAGCTTAGCCAATGTAGTATTTTTATTCCTTATTGTTCTTTGGTTTTACATAAGTATAATGGTTATCCGAATTCCCCTGTTCAACATTCTTCGAAAAGACCCTTACCGCCGTATGGTCCACTGCATGTGGAATCCTTATCCAGCATTTTCCGGATATCTGTATATGGTTATAGGTATGTACATATGTACTATATATTTCTGTTATACGTAGCTGCGGTAAACTAGATACGCATAAGCTTTGCTTTCAGACCCTGTGTCCAGAACGACCTTCACCCTTTGACCCATTTCTAACGTCATCCCTTACCTACATCGCTTGCGTCGTAAAAATTACGAGTAACGTCAACCGGTACGAAAGAGTAAAACACGTTACATTTTGACATTAATGACTTTATTTATTCGTTGTCGGAATCGACAATTGCAATACATTATGGGTTATGCGTATATGGGTTAAATATACAATCGTGTCGCACAGTGTGTGGGTTCGCACAGCCGGGCTTCCGGGATCGTCATTGTTCATGCAAACAATCATTGGGTAACGCCATGTTGGAATATTTCGAAAGAAATCGATAAATTGACTACTAAAATATTTCGATAAAATCACTACTGACGTATGCACATCATACAAATTACTTTTACTCAATTACAGTGCAGTCAGGAAAATAAGAAAAACAGGACAAAAAATGAGGGTAAAAAATATTCGGCTAGTGCACCCCTTTTTATATAGCAAGCAGTACCCTCTGTCACGGTACTGCCCGGCAAGTGCTGCCTCCTGCGACAAAAGTTTCAACTTCTAATACCTCTGAATATTCCTCACACAGTTCGTATTGTTAGTATCTGTCACTTTGACTGGCTGGTGGAAGATGCATTACCTGGCGCATCTCCTCATTGTAGGAGGCAGTGATAAGGAAAAGAAGAAAAAAGAAGGTGCATTACCAGTTATTGGCACGTTTCCTTAATGGGAATAAGTCAAAAGGGACAAAAAGACGGAGGACGCATTGTTTCGTAATTTGCAAACTTGCCGATTATTCATTTTGAAAATTTGTGATGACAATGCACTTGAAGTCAAATTTAATAAAAAAATCGACGCGATTACGTGAAAAACGGTCGCGCGATTACGGTCAAATGACACGTGAAAATGCACATTGACGAAAAAGCGTAAACGACGATGGCAGACTTTAAAAAAAAAAAGAGCAGAAAGGATTATTATAATTGTTATACAAAATTTCTTAAACGCAATGTTTGTATAGTCCGTAATGGTAGATTATTTGTCTTGTGTCATGCATTAGTGCTTTTATATTGGCCATAGGAAAATTCGTATGTCTGGAAATACTGCAATGGCGATGCGAAACGCAGCCTCGGTGTTTGGGTTAAGACGATGAATAATTCACGGGAGTAAATTAGTTTTTTGTTTCAACCACTGAGCTGCAACTTATGGTAATAATAGAAAAATTCTACACTATAAAGAAATAGAAGCTTCCGACCTGACAATTATTTTTCTTTCCATCACTTTTTTATTTCACTCTTTTCAGCCGACATCAGCGTTGAAGTGGATTCTACTCGAAACACTAACGGCAAATGGCCGCCTCTGCCTGTCGTTCTTAATCATGACTATACGTATAGGCGAACCTGTTGCATCGAGGATAAAATTAGCAGCGTTCAACAAGCATTGCCTACATGTGTATCTAAACGTAAATCTTCATCCTAACAAAGTTGCCCGTCTGTTAAAATGTACGAAGTCAATAATAAGGTAATATCACGTTTCTCAGTTCAAACAAATTTCGAATAACTAAACTGTCTATAAGAAAATAATAATTTTAGTATAATGCTGTATCATTCTTTTTATCCAGACAACTCGACTGCAATATCTTTACGACGATGTCACCGCTGGCGACATCAAAGACGCTGACGTAAAACCGGAAACAGCTTTCAGATCCAGGCCAAATACACTCTCGTGTTACTCACGCATGCCAGATATACTCTGCATCCACAGACATCGATACCTGCATATAATATAGATATACATAACATAACGGAAGAAAGAAAAGTCAGAAAAGACTAAACTGAGAAAGAGATTCTGTGTTGTCACCCTCGGGGAGTATCCCTTTTGCCAATGTATGCACCGACTAACCTAGGAGCACATCGGATATATTTGCATACCGCATAGGAAACGAAAGAAATGGCAGACGGAAGTCAAGAAGAAAAACAAGTATAAAAGAATATTAAAGCAAGAAACGTGAAAAGAAATCTTAAGAAACAAATAACGCAACTGGTGAATGTTATTAGTTTATAATATTGTTTTCATAGAGTATCGGTAGGTTACTACGAACTTGTAAGACATTTTTTTAGTTAACAAAATTAAAGCTCTGTACGCACTGTATTGCCGTATCGAGGTGCGTTACGTGAAGGCAACAAGCGCGTTGCAGGGCTAATAAAGATTTTGTCGCAGTGCGAGCTGTGGGTAGGTAGGTAGGTACTAGGGTGAGTGGGTGGGTAGGTAGGTAGGTAGGTTGGTAGGTGGGTGAGTGAGTTTGCTTATCGATCTACAGCCTGCAACCTGTGGAACCTACCATCCGGTGAGCTTGCGAGATACGGCATAGATACACCCTGATACAAAGGTTAGAACCTAGAGCACGTCCACTGGGATAAACTTGTGACAGTTTAAGAACACATTTTTCGTGACTTTTATGTTACATTGACCATAAAACGTATGTACCTACAGAGTCATTAGTATAACGAGATTGATATGAATTAAATGGATTAAAGTCTTTTTCAATTCGCTTAATTAATTCACGTTTAATCACGACGTAACAATTCAACTGTATATCGAGTGAACGCAGCCTTAAAGGGATACTCCGTCATTATGCGAATTATAAATATCGTTAAATCGATTTTCTAACAGATATTTCTGATCCACGAATAGCCTTCGTTGTTGCGTGTGTAATAAATAATGTCAATCAACGAAATTTATAGAAGCTTTACTTATAGCATATGTATGTACAGGGTCGTGTCTTTATTGACAAATTTATAAATAACCTTTCCGTCTCTGAATGTTATTTTTGTATCTTTTTGTTTGATTCTGTACCAAGGAATTTCGTTATATTATTCAATTGTTATTTTTTCGTAAGATTAAATTTAGGTGAAGAGCTGGAGGGTCATGTGGTCGTAGTTGACAGCATCCCATGCGTATGTACGCAGGACATGGGCATGTGGTTTTACATGATGAACTAACAGGCGTAATTACGTTAGTCGTACCTATATTGAGCTACGACTTTATTATGTCATTGTATAACGGTATGAATAGGGATGATACTATAGTGTATTAATTATCATACAAATATAAATACGTACCCAAAGACTATACAGTGCGTACAAAGTGGTATGACAGTATACTTTTGAATTCTTGTTTTCTTGTGACTAATTAAATTGTGAGTAATTATAGGTGGAATACTAGAAGCGTTAACGCTTTCGGTGTATCTATTTGAATTTCCAGGAAGCACAATATTATTCCATGTACATACTAATTGTAATTTCCTAGTAATACACGTCATGCCAATGTAACAGAGTTGTTATATTCTGTTTTCTGGAATATCTTGAGTGATAAATAATTGGTAATTTTATTCGCTATTAGATGTTATGTTTCGCGGTCAGATTGTAACAAGCGTTTTATTTAAATCTGTTGCCGGTTTTCACCGCGTGGCAGCAGTACGATCGAGAACGTTACGATCCAAGATGGCGGAATAATGGATCTGCCCGAACCTTTAATCGGATGTTTATTACGTCGATCATGTTTTTGGTGTCTTCTCAAGACTGGTTGAAGTCAAGCGTCCTCTTGGATAACAAGTAAGTCTGCGACGATTCGTTATTTTGTTATAACCTTCAAAGCTACTATTCTGTCAGCTATATTACATAAAACCTAGGCGAACGTAAACAGCGCGATGACGTTGAGAGAAAATCAGTTGCACAATTGTTCTCTCGACTGTTTTGCACTATTTTTGCAAAGTATATCAATTCTCTTACATTTTCCTTCGATCGCTGAACTCAAACTTCAGAACTATCTATAGCTCGAATATGACCTATGAAGACTATTGGTATTCTGACATATCAATTAAGGTATTACTACGGTAAACTCAAAACCGCGTAATCGAGCTGAAATTTGTTTTACGTCTAATTTGTATAGCAGTACATCTCTACAAATTTTTAACACGATTCACTCATCCATTTCCGAGTATTTCCGAGTTAAAGTCAGGACTCGTAACACGTATTCCCTATACCTGGCCAATAAAACGCGCATGGTTTTTTTTATTGCATTTGACTCGTCCGCGTGATTCCGACGAAAAACTAGTATATGGCAAAGGAAAAAATTAGGAATTTTTTAGATTTTTAATCAAAACTTTTTACTCATAGGATTTATTCATAGACATGAAAGAAGTTCGATATTTATTACGTTCGATATTTGTTACGGCAACATTGCGTTTGAGACTGTATTCGGTGTATATACGTATACAATACTACATCCAATGTACATTAGTGTGCGCCTATCGATGCAGGGATGGGCGTGTGGTGAGTGAACTGTACCAGTTCAAAAGTTGACGCTGGATTGTTCAAATCTTACATTGAAAATTTTGTCATTTTTCGGTCCGTAGTAATACCTTAAGGAAGATAAATTATATCCCTTCGTGAGGTGATTAATATTTTAATATAATAATATGGAGCATATAATTTGCATCTGACGTTATATCCTCTACGTAGATTCTCCATCTCGCTATGCTTAGAACGGACTGTGGAGAAGCCTTAAGGTACGCTCGATTCTCGGCTGCTTCTTGCCTTACATACAGTTGGTATTGCACGTATATACATATCTATACCTGTCGTCATTCTTGCCTTCTAGGTCTACCTTTTAATTCATGATCATCGATCGTCGTTTAAAAGTCTACTTAAAAGTGTCCCTCCAGGATACAGACATAAGGAAAGGAAGGAAGGAAGAAAAAGTGTCCCTCCGACTTACATCTTTGGCTAAAGAGTACATTCTTTATCTCTATATATTCTAAAAAAAGTATTCGCGTAATAGGAGTCAAATCAATGCTACTTCAAAGGACCCTGTGACGCATTAATTACGCACAGCTATTTTCGTTTTCTCAGTCCCTCTTTATATCCGCCTCTTTAGTCGCTAACGAGATTTATCGTGCGTTTAATATTTCAATAAATAAAAGTGAAAACGCTTTGAATTGTGAAAGGCAGTGAATTGTCTTAACTGAGTAACTTCTTTTCCTTCTTTTCCTCTCTTATTCTTTTTGTTGTCACTCCGCAGAGATTCCGTCGAGCCAGAGAGTCCTCGTCGCCGATAAGTACCAAAACAAGAGCCAAGTCCAGGCACAATGGCGTCCCGTGCCACCTTCTGATCCTATATTAGACGTTGCATCCAGTTGGCCTTTTCATTATTTACAATGGAGAAGAAAGTGTGACGGGATCGATTACCGACTTCAATGCGGAAGTACAAGAACTATATTCTCTTCCATCCCGTTTGTGAGGATAATTGAAAGGAGCCATTTCACATCCCAGACTGTTATTCTAAAGGGATACTGAATGAAAGTTCTGGAAATAGATCCGGTTCGAATGGTGGATTCTAACCTACAGATATACTCAAGAAATTTCTGGATTCAAGGTATTATATGTTTCACGTCGCTCATAATTAATTCCTTATGCTTTCGCTAAACTATTCTTTTCTTCCTTTTTTCGTAGGGTGCACGACGAGAACAATTGAAATTTTGGCTGTTAACGCTTTTCAAAAGCGTTAAAGGACTGTAGCAACGTTGACGGGATCAGTCTTTGTACAGAAATGGGTAGGATCTTGTAGACAATGCAGAATCCTGTCATTGTCTATTTTTCAAGGAGAATTCCTTGAGAGTAATCCCGAGGAAAGGTCACATTGAATATTGTCAAGCTATCTTAAATCCCTCCCACCTCTTGGAAGCCCCTTGGTGTTAAAAGTAAAGGGAGTTAGTGTCGCCTGTAACAGAAGCAAATGAGACACGTGGCCAGCATCACCGGTATCCAGTAACAGTTAGCTGAGAAGGCCAGGACTTTAATGGGTATCAGAAGAGTGGTTTGTTGCTGCTCGCTAAGGAGCACGAGGGTGATAGGGTCGAGGATGGGAATATCTGTGGAGGGTATGGTCTGTAGAAACAGGTGATGGTGGTGGAGACATCTGTATATGTCGCCAGGTTGGTGAGAGAGGTCGTATAAGAGAGAGAAGGAGAAGTAGATGCCGTATTGGAAAAAGGGAGTGAGAGCGAGAGTGTAAGAAGGGGATGGAATAACGAAGAGATGGTAAAAACGGGCTGTGGATTTCTTGGATGGCGAAAATTTTTCGGCGCGGAGCCTTTTTACGATTCTTACCCCTCCGAAGAGTTGACGTCATAGAATCCGTAAGGGGCGCGGTCCGCCATATTGATTCAATCCCTACCCCCACGGCGCGTAGAGGGAGCTCCGTTCCATTCACAAACACGTCCCGCCAGCTGCGCACCTCCCTTCGCCTCCCGAGGAAGTTTCTGCCACTTCTCCCCGGTCCTTCCCACTTACCCTTGTGGATGGGCTTGGCGGGGGATCCTCGCGTGAAAAGGGGTTGTTCAGGGAAACGTAACAGCGAAAAATATCCACAAAGGGGTTGCTGCCGGCTGACACCACCAACACAACTGTCGTCACTCTTCGATCTTTCCCGAATCTCTCAATGGCCGGTATGGCCACCTTTATGTGTATATACTGTTGTATATACTAAACCCCCCCCCCCTCATACCAGCTACCCTTCCATCGAATACTTTACCACCACCCTCTTCACCCTTTCATGCTTTGTATCCATCATCTTGCTATTATTTCCATACAAATCGTAATGCACAGTTTCCCTTATTTACTAAAGTATGACACTTGTCCTAGGGATTTTGTTTCTTTTTTTTTTGTTTTCTCTTTCTTCACCACGCAGTGTAACATTCTATCTACTTAAACCCTACGTTCTTGTCTGTCTTAGGCCAAGAGTTCAGCGAAATTATAATTTTCAATTTCCACATGAAACTTACCTGGGACGACGACGTTAATGGTATGTCTGCTCTTTGTTCCTCTTATACGTAACACGGGCTAAAGTCTTGATCTTTTACATGTTTTCCTTGTAGACGCATGATGCGACGTCCGGACTTTTATAAAACCCAGGAACAACGGCGGAATCTTGGGTCTGACGTAGTAGTCGACCTTGACGGAGTAGGAGCGTTCGAATCATACATGCTGCGTGGGCGTATCAATGGACTTGGCCTGTCAATTTTTCGAGTGAGATTTACTATGCGTACAGCGCTTTGGCATAATAAACAAGAAACGCTTCAACTCATTCTGTTACTCTTATCTGCTATTTGTGCGGAGTGGCATCCGGATAAAATGAATAGTGACTGAACAAGATCGTTGAGTGATCTTATTTTATCTTTATTTATATAATCGCATCGCCCTTGTACTCGTTACATCTTATTTGGCTACTTTTATTTCTGATTTAATATTTTTAATTTTACTCACAGTCATCAGATATGGATTTCACTCTTGGCATTAATAATTTGTCATGATTCAAGGTTAAGCTTGGTACGTAACATTGTATTTTACACAATTTCGAGCCGTAGAATAAATGAATGAAACTTCAAACCCTTATTACGACGTCACCAGCATCCCCATTGTTCTAGCTTATCTTGAAACCATCCATTGGCTAGCGTCTTCGTCTGAGTATACTCGGACCCTATCGTTTTCTGAATGGCCGGTGAGCCTCTGGCGATCCTTTGACCCAGGCCGAAAGTCGAGGATGGAATAAATTTGAATTTCCCGCCGAAGGATCCCCCTGGGAGCTTGTGGCCTCCTCGTCCTTTCACGATGCGAAGAACCAATAAAGGGTAACCATCGATTTTTCAAGAGAGAAAAAGAAGCAAAATAAGAGGAATCAAGAAAAACTAAACAATGCATCCACCGATGAATTCAGTGCGCAAGATAAATTCGTCTATCGTTACTCCCTAAGTGGGGATGGTTGTGCAATGCTTTAGTTTCAGTCTCTAAAATATCCTAGACTCACACCTCGTCTCAAGGTATTACTTTTATCGCTTAACTCACACACCCTGTAAAGTTCCTCGTCCGCACACTCTTCCTACAAAAGTATTTATTCCCATCACTCATGTGGTTACTTCTACTTGCAGGATTTTCCTCGGGCTCAACCCTTTCGCTGTTCATCTTTAAACTTCAAATTTCGCAGCCACTTTAAGCCCAAGAACAAGTCACTTTAAGAGCCCTCTGTATATATTCATCGGCAAGGGGTGACATAAACTAATACCGCTTCATGACGACGACCCCGTATTATATATTTACAAAGTATATATACACATATATATTTGGTACCTGGGACAAGCAGATAATTACATACCATAGTTAAGTATACCGTCGTGGTTCCTATTTGGCTTATACTACAGCGTAGGTAGGTAGGTACGCGTGTACCCAGTTGGCCCGGGAAGTGGCGATAGGGTTGTTAAGGGTAAAGGGGTCGAAGGGTGCAAAAAGCGATTGCCTGTCAGGAGCTAATAAAACCGCGAGGGACCCCGGGAAAATAGGGGATGTTCCTTCGTATCAGAGAGCACTGTGTATGCGCTTCGGTATAATCCACAACATTTTTTTCTTGCCCGTCCCCACCCGTTATTCTTTGTCCTTTATCTTTACGATATTATAATTGTCAGAACGTCCTATTTCTTGTCCAACTCACCCTCGCCTACCCGGTCACGCTCAAAAGAATATAAAGCGTAGTAGGCGATTGAAAATAAAAAGAAAAACGAGAACCCTGTAAATCGTGGCGTACAAAAATGGCGGAATTTTTATTTTATCGCAAGATAAGCTTCTCGTGTTATCTTTATCCTTGGTATATCGCCAAGCGAAATAATAGCTGAGCTCTAGATTTTTTTTTTTTTTTT